TCAGAGTGCGGGTGCCAGCGAGTCCCGAGAGAGCCTCCTTCCTGAGGTACAACAGCTGCCTTCTAGGTGGGTCCTCGTACCGGGCTGGGGACCCGACCAGCTACCTACCACTGCTCATAAGGGCTCTAATCCATTGGGAGGCTGCACTCTGACCTCCTAAAGGGTCCACCTCCTAAGATCATCACATTTTATTAGGGTTTCAACATGCGGATTTCAGAGGGACACAGTCACTCCACAACCCAGCTAAGGCGCTCTTAGAGTAAAGACAACCCTTTAGTTGGTCCTTATGTTAATAAACATCCCCATCCCGAGCCCCAGCCGCCTGCCAGCTTGACCACAGCAGGCTCTGGTGTCCCCTTTCTGCAGTCCATCCCCATGATATCCAGAAAGCTGGGGGCATTTCTAGAGAGCAGTCCCATCACGCGGCACCTGGCCTGGGTGTTCTCTCTGGTTCCCACATCAATATGACACCTGGTTCAAGGACCAAAACCCAGAGGTACAGGGGCAGGGCATCCTCTGGCCTTGGGTCATATCCTCACCACAGCCCTGCAGAGCCCAGACCCTTGTGGCTGCCCGCCCCACTGTCCCCCCGAGGGCTCGGGGGGGGGGGCACTAGAAGGGCCCCTCAGCTTTGGAGATAAGGCCCTGGCTTGAGTCTTGGGCTCTGGCCTTGCACACCCAGTGCTTGAGAGAAAGGAGGAGTATTTGACTTGCACCTAGCAAGTGCTCAAAAAATATTTGTTAAAGATGTGATTGAGTAAGCGAAGAGGGAAGGGATGGGGACCAGTGAGGGTCCTGCTCAGGCCCCTGTCCCACATCTGTTGGACTCTGGCTGGCGGAAGTGACCCAAATGTCCATCGACAGATAAATGGATAAAGAAAATGTGGTCTAGCCATACCATGGGCTATTATGAAGCCTTAAAAAAGAGGGAAATTTGTCATGTTTTGTGATTCCACTTTTATGGAATACCTAAAGTAGTAAAAAAAAAAAATCACAGAAACTGGAAGTGGAAAGGTGGTTCTGGGGGTGCTGGGAGAGGGGAAGGGAATTAGGGTTTGATGAGAGAGAGCTTCAGCATTGCACAAGGATGCGAATACGCTTAACATCATTGAAATGTTCGCTTAAAAATGGCTAAGATGAGGGATGCTTGGGTGGCTCAGTGGGTTAAAGCCTCTGCCTGCGGCTCAGGTCATGATCTTGGGGTCCTGGGATCGAGCCCCGCATCGGGTTCTCTGCTCCGTGGGGAGCCTGCTTCCTCCTCTCTCTGCCTGCCTCTCTGCCTACTTGTGATCTCCGTCTGTCAAATAAATAAATAAAATCTTTTTTTTTTTTTAAAAAGGCTAAGATGATAAAGTTAACGTTAGGTGTTGTTTACTACTGGAAAAAAAAAAAAAATGAGCGGATGCCAAGAGCCAGAAGGTTCTTGCAGTTAACCACCGCTCCAACAAAAGACTCTGGCTGCCAGAGTGGTTGTAGAGGGTTAGAGTGGAGAGCTGAACATCATTTTGGAGTATGATTTGTCCAAGGAAGAGATGGTAGTGGCCCAGACTAGGGAAGTGGCAGTAAAGATGGAAAAGGGACAAGAGATGAGCTGTCATGAATTGACTTGTGAGCTTCCCACCTTCCCGTTCATGTGCAGAAGTCCTAACCCCCAGTATCAGAGTGGGATCCTATTCGGAAATAGGTCGTTGCCGTTGTGATTAGTTACAATGAGGTCATAGACCTTGGGTGAGCTACTGAGCCAATATGACTGGTGGCCTTATAAAAAGGGGAAATTTGGATGCAGAGCCACACCCACAGGGAGAGCACCATGTGAAGACTGAGCCAGACATCCAAGTGATTCTTCTATAAGCCAAGGAATACCCATGACGACCAAACAACCTCCGGAAAGCTAGTGGAAAGGCATTGAACAAATCTGCACTCACAGCTCGAAGAAGGAGCCGTTCCCACTGATAGCTTAGTCTCCGGATTCCAGTCCCCAGTCTGTGGGACTCTGCTAGGACGCCCTGGGAAAGTAACAGAGGAGACAGTAACTAGATGGGGCAGGAGGTGGGTCGGGGGAGCAAAGTTGGGCCAGTTGGTGTGACAAGCAAGCCTCCAGTCTCAGCGGCTACACAACACATGTTTATTTCTCATGTGTTGGTGGGCACCTTCCACTAAGGCACTCAGGAATCCAGCTCTTTCCACCCTCCCCAGGCGCTGGGCTCTCCCACATCTAATTGATGAAGGGAGGAGAGAGAGCCCTGGCAGAGATCTCCAGGTGCGCTTTGCAAACCTGGAGATCTTGTTAAATATAGGTTCTGATGAAGGAGGTCTGGGCAGGAGCCTGAGAATCTGCATTTCTTTTTTTTTTTTTTTGTAAGATTTTATTTATTTATTTGACAGACAGAGACACAGCGAGAGAGGGAATACAAGCAAGGAGTGGGAGAGGGAGAAGCAGGCTTCCCACTGAGCAGGGGGCCTGATATGAGGCTCCATCCCAGGACGCTGGGATCACGACTAGAGCCGAAGGCAGAGGCTTAGCCCTCTGAGCCACCCAGGTGCCCCAGAATCTGCATTTCTAACAAGCGTCTCAGGGATGCTGATGCTGCTGGTCTGGGCCCCCCCAGCTTTCAGTACCAGGAGGCATCACTCCTGCCCACACCCATTGGCCTGAACTCATTCCCATAGTCAAATGCGAGGGAGGCAGGGAAGCGGAGTTCAGCTGTTTTCGTGGGAGCTGGAGGAACCAGGATCAGGAAACACAGGTGGAGGGCCAGAGCAGGTAGGAGGGACAGAGTCCTCCCCTAAAAGCAGTACTGTTGTTCTGGAGGGATCAAGGGGAAGTCTTGACCGAGACTGTGGGGCCCTTTAGCCTTCCTGAACACTCTGCAAGTGACAAGGTGAGGGCCAAGATCTTCTTTAATTTGAGGCTCTGTGAGTCATCTGGGACCAGAGCTTGCAAGGAGACACTGCCCCTCCTCTCAGTGCCCCAGTCCTGGATCTGAGCTCCCCCTCCCGCTCATCCAGTAGCTCCTCTGTGGGAGACTGAGTCCTTGGGGACTGGGCAGCCAAAGTACAGTAAGTAGACTGCATGGACAGCTTGGTCCGTTCCTGCCCTGACAGGAACCAGTTCCTATTCTACTGTCCCTACTGACCACTATCCCTGTCCCCCCACCTAGCCCTTTCCTGGGCAGTCTGTGACCCTGGAGGTGACACTCCCCACACACCTCCACTACAGAGGCTATGGCCCAGGCCTGCAGTCCCCTGAGGCTCCCTGTGGGCCAGAGACTTGGGGGGACACTTACAAGCCGAAGCAGCCACTGCCTCTCTCGGTAACCCCCTTGGGAGAAGGGGCCCAGGTCAAAGGGTAGCCACAGGTTGTCAGTACTGGGCTAGCACGTGCAGCTGAGACTCCCAGTCCAGCGCTCAGCGGGGCCAGGGAACTGGGAGTCGAGCCCTGGCCAGCCTGGCCGCTGAGAGGGCTTCTCCAGGAGACGACCCTGGTGTCCAATTCGAGTTTCAACAAACCCCTCTCCCCACTTCGAATGTTCACCCCGTGGACTGCCCGCCCCTAGGATCCAGGAACCTCATCACTGGAGCACTAATTGCTAGGTCTCCCGTCCCATGGTCGCCACCCACATCCTGGCCTTTCCAGAATCCTTCCTGAACGCCCCTATCTTATGGGCGGCACAGGTCCGTCAGGGCTGGACAGCTTGGCGAGGACCTGGGGAGAGGTGGGGAGGCTGGATTGAGGGGCAAGGGATCTGGGCGGGGCGGGGCCGCTCTGGGCCCGGCTACCACCCATCTCCTCCCGGGCGCCCGCCCCCGCCCTCCCACGCACCTGCGCTGGCCTCCCCCCAAGCCCTGGGGGCAGCCGGCGGGCGGTGCTGCGAGATCAGAGGATTCGGAGGAGTCGGGCCCGGGGGAGGGGGCGGGGAATTTCCCCCCACGCCTGCCTGGGCCTGCTCCCCTCCCCCTCCCCCGCCAGGTTGGGGGCAGGGGGGGGCTCCGCTGGGGGAATTCCACTGCGCTGCGAGGGCTCAGGCGAGCCTGGGCTGGGGGTCCTACGGAAAGAAGGGGGAAGACAGGAGGGGACAGGCTGGGACCAGGGGCGCAGCTGCCTTCCTCCCCAGACACCAGCTGCCCCTGCCTGTCCGGGATTGAAAGTCCACCATTCCCGCCTGTCTCGCGGGCGCGAGGGCAGGGAGTGGCACTTCCTCCGTCAAACCAGAGGCATTCGGTACTTGGAAAGAGGGACGCGAGGATCCGAAAGAGGGTGTGCGTTGGAGCCTCCGACAATGAATGGGTGACAGACTGGGCGTGCGTGCGTCCCCTTGAACCAAGGGTGCCTGTGAACAGGAGACTCTGGGGTGTCCCAGAGGCGTGTGGTCTCGGGAGAGGGTCACGTATCACTCCCGTTAGGGTCTGTCTGTCCACCAGCGTGACCTGTCCTCCTCCACACACCCCTAAAACATGCACGGACCTTGAGAGGGGGAGGGGAGGGGAGAAGCGTGCCGGGACACCGAGGGTCCCGGGGCAGTGGATTGGTGGTGGGGGGGGGGGGATTGGCGTGGGAGGCGTCTGGACCTGCTGCCTCCGCTCCAGTCTCGGGCGGGGCTTCCCGGCCTCGGGGGATGGGGTGGGGAGGGAGGGACTCAAGGGGGAGGGACCCACAGAGGGACGCGAAGGGGGCGGGAGCCAGTGTGTTAGAGACCTGAGTGAGGGAGGCTCAGAGAGCAAGGCGCAGCGGGAGGGGGCGGGCGTGGAAGCCGAGGCAAGACCGAGAGCACTGAGGGGCAGTGACGGAGACGGCTCCCGGTCAGAGAACCCAGGAGATACCCCCAGTGGGGACACAGGGGCAAAGAGACACCTCCAGGGGCGGAAACCCGCGGGGAGTGACCGCCCTAGACGGAGAGCGCCTCCCAGAGTGGGACGAGAACAGACGGTCAGAGGACAACGCCCCCCCAGGTCGCCTGGAAGACCCCGGAGCGACCCCGGGGGCGGCATGGACTGTGCATTGGCCAGTGCAACCTCTCTTTGGTTGGGGGTGATGGACACACGGGCCCCGCGGGGCCTCTTCCTTCTCCTCCTCTTCCTCCCGCTGCTGCCGCCACGCGGGGCCTCCGCGGGGAGCCTGCACAGCCCAGGTGAGTTTTGGCCCAACTCTGAGCCGTGGTCACCATTTTGTCCTCCACCTTCACGCCTAAGACCCGGGTCCAGAGGCTGAGGAAGGAGCAGAGCAGGTGGCAGGGGCAGCTGAACAGCGCCAGGACCCCGCAGGCGCCGAGGGCGCTGTCTGGGCAGCCAGGGACAGGGGGGTGGCTGGGCAGTTGGAGTGGGGGGGGGGCGGTGAAGATGCGGGCGAAGGTCCGGACCCCCCCAGTCCCCGCGGTCGTCGTGCAGGCTTGTCCGAGTGCTTCCAGGTGAATGGCGCAGACTACCGCGGCCACCAGAACCGGACGGGGCCGCGCGGGGCGGGCCGCCCGTGCCTCTTCTGGGACCAGACGCAGCAGCACAGCTACAGCAGCGCCAGCGACCCCCAAGGCCGCTGGGGACTGGGCCCGCACAACTTCTGCCGGTGAGGGCGGGGCCTGCGCCGGGGGCGGGGCTGCGCGCCGCTGAGCCGGCGTTGGCCGGGGGAGTTGTAGCGGAATTGGAGAGCTCTGCTGGGCGGATACAAAGTCCACCCGGAGGGGCTGGGAGCGGAGCCTAGGCGAGGGACTAGGCCCAGCCACCCTGGGGGCGGGGCTGGACGCTCAGAACACTGTCGCGCATGGAACCCGCCTTAGGTGCCCAAACTCTGCCGTCTCAGGTCGGGTCTGGGCATTCAAGGAGGCCGCCCGGGCGGGATCCAGTCGGGGGTGGGGGTGGGGGGGCGAGCCCTGGAGGGGGGGGCCGGGTCCTCCCCGTACAACTGATTTGAGGGGCTCTACTCGTTATGGAGGGGTTGGGTGTTCAGAGCCACAACTGATGTCTGGACCTGCGCAGGAGGACACCACAAAGCTCAGGGTTCAGCACTTTTGCTCTAAAGCAGGGTCCCAAGGCAAGGGAAGTGGCTGAGGCCCAAGGCAGAGTTGGGGACAACACGTCTGGTGGCCTCAAAGTTCTTATGTATAAGGTCACGTCCTAGCAACAGCTGAAGCCCAAAATATGCCCTCAGGGCCCCTTTAAGGACTTCCCACCCAACCCTTTGGAAGTCCCAAAGCACGTGAGACAAACCAGAATTTGTGCGACAACGAAGAGGAACACACAAATTCTAACACACGCGGTGGCCATTTTGCGGATAGGCCGTGGGGTGGGGCCTGGGACTTGCAGCCTTTGGGGGGGGGCTGGATCGGGACCACTTGTCCTCCACGGGCAGGAACCCCGACGGAGACGTGCAGCCCTGGTGCTACGTAGCCGAGACAGAGGAGGGGATCTACTGGCGTTACTGTGACATCCCCACGTGCCACAGTGAGTGGGCCCGGTTGGACAAGGGTGGGAACGCTGGGCTGCCTGAGTAGAGTTCTCTTCTGGGGGCACCCGACAAAGCCTGACTCTGCTGCCCCCTCAGTGCCTGGATACCTGGGTTGCTTCGTGGATTCGGGGGCACCCCCCGCCCTCAGTGGCCCCAGCGGCACCTCAACGAAGCTCACGGTCCAGGTGTGCCTTCGCTTCTGCCGCATGAAGGGCTACCAGGTACTGCTCCCACCTCCCGCCCAGAACGGCACCCTGAACTTGTCCTCAGCACCAAATCAACTCCCAACCCTGACGTCAAACCCTGACACTGATTTTGGAACCTCCGGTCCGATTCCCACTTGCGACCCAGACCCAAGGTTCCCACTACCCCTCCCCTGCCCCAACCACTGCCTCTGGGGTCACCCAGTCTGTGCTCCCAGCTGGCGGGCGTGGAGGCTGGCTATGCCTGCTTCTGTGGCTCTGAAAGCGACCTGGACCGGGGACGCCCGGCCCCAGCTACCGACTGTGACCAGATTTGCTTCGGCCACCCGGGCCAGCTGTGCGGAGGCGATGGGCGTCTGGGTATCTACGAAGGTGAGGAGTGAGCCGGGAAGAGAGCCCTGGGGGAGCGCCGGAGTCTGGGTGAGACCGGGGAGCGCGATGCCCTCATAGGGGGCGGGATCTGAGACGCGCAGAAGTGGGGACCCGGCCGAACCTGGGGGTCAAAGGCCGGGCCTGGGTTGAGGGTGGGGCTTGAGGAGGGGAGTCACGGTCCACGGAAGGAGTGGGACCCGGCTCAGGTGGCAGGGGGACAGATCTGGGGTCGAGGCCCCGCGGGGGAGGAGAAGGAGCCTGGCCCCGGGATTCTGACTGCCGGCCCCGCCCACAGTGTCCGTGGGCTCCTGCCAGGGCAACTGGACGGCTCCTCAGGGCGTCGTCTACTCCCCGGACTTCCCGGACGAGTACGGGCCGGACCGGAACTGCAGCTGGGCGCTGAGCCCGCCGGGCGCCGCGCTGGAGCTCACCTTCCGCCTCTTCGAGCTGGCCGACCCGCGCGATCGGCTGGAGCTGCGCGACGCCGCCTCTGGCAGCCTGCTGCGCGCTTTCGACGGCGCCCGCCCGCCACCGCCCGGGCCGCTGCGCCTGCGCGCCGCCGCGCTGCTGCTCATCTTTCGCAGCGACGCGCGCGGCCACGCGCAGGGCTTCGCGCTCACCTACCGCGGTGAGCGCCCGCCTGGTCGCGCCCCCGCCCGCCGCCCCGCGGCCTCGCCTCACACTTCTCTCCGCAGGGCTGCAGGACGCCGCTGACGACCCGGAGCCCAGGGGCTCGGCGCAGACCCCCGCGGCGCCCCCCGACTGGGCTAACGTCAGCTGCAGTCCCCGGCCCGGGGCTCCGGAGGCCGCGATGGGAGGTGAGGCGGGCGTGCGAGGCGGGAGGGAGTTCGGGGAGCCGCCCTTTCCAGACCCCGTCCTCACAGCGCGGTGCGCCCGCAGCCCGGGTCTTCTCGACGGTGACGGCCATCTCGGTGCTGCTGCTGCTGCTCCTGTCGTTGCTGCGTCTGCTTCGCCGACGGTGCGCCCCCTGGGGCAGGGCCTGAGGGCGGACGCCTTGGTGGCCCCGGGGAGGGGGACCCTGCTGGGAAGCTGGGGCCTCCAAGGGGAACAGGGCTGGGAGGAAATCCTGGGTTCTTGAGGGCCGAAGCCTTGCGTCCACACAGGGAATCGCGCGTGGGATCGCAGGTGAAGCAGGACGCTGGAGGTAAGATTGGTTGAGGGCTCGGCTGACGTCTGCTCCCTCTCTAGGAGCTGTCTGCTGGCTCCGGGAAAAGGTCCCCCAGCGTTGGGGCCTTCCCGGGGCCCCGGGAGAAGCTGGGCTGTGTGGTACCGCCGGCCTCGAGGGGTGGCCCTGCCCTGCCCTCCCGGCGACTCTCAGGCTGTGGGTCTAGCTGCGAGTTACCGGCCCCTGAGTGCCTCCAGCCAGAGTTCCCTGCGCTCGCTCATCTCTGCTCTCTGACTCGGGAACCCCAGGGTCCACTGGACCCTCTGCCAGAGGGACGGACACCTGAGACTTCATGACAACTCTACGCTGACCTTCTGCCCCTGTAAGGGCAGCTCGATCCCTGGTCATCCGGTGGAGGCCAGACATTGGATAGGAAGCATCTGATGCTATTGAGAACTTGGTCTGACCCTCGGGGTCTAGGTGGTTGAGGCCAAAGGGCAAGAGGAATCCCAGCTTCCTTTCCTCATGAACCTTGATATGGGGGTGTCTGATTTCAGGTTGCTTTGAGAGCCTCTTGGTGGTGGTCCTGGACTGCTGCCCTAAGGGAAGTGTGAGAGGTCAAGAAAAGTAGTCAAAAGACCAACTATAGACTTTGAATAAAGGACCTATTTTGGTACAGTTCTGCAAGTTCCTGCTTGATGGGAGGGGTTATGTTAATGAGGGTATCGGAGCCAGGGTTGGGTGTGTCCATGCAAATTAAGGTCGGTCCCCGCAAGGAGTGATTTGGAGGCGCCTGTAATGCTGAAGACCGAGGAACCGCGGAGGCGAAAGGATGGGTGGGCGGGGTCCTGGAGACCGGGAGGAGGAGGAAGCCGGTTGTGGGGGTTAAGCCGGAGAAAGGACGCATTCCTGGACCCACTTTAGGATGAACCCCGGCAGGGACCCACCTTTCTCCTTTGCCCTCCCGCCCTCTCTCTTCCCCCCGTTTCCTGTATTTTCTGGGTGGAACTGAAGGTGTCCCCAGTGGGCAATAACAGGGAGCGAGTTTGACCGAGCCCAAGCTATAGGGAGCCTGGCCAGAAGGGTAGGGCATCACCCAAGGGTGCTGGGTGCGTCAGACACACCTGTAGAGACCTGGGCGTCTCAGCGCGGCTTGCTGCGCTCTGGCTGAGTCGGCAGGGTGGAGAGAGCTCGCCTGTGGAGTGGGGACGCGCCGGGTCTAGACCTTACTGGTCCGAAGGTCCGGGGCCGGCAGCACCTTGGACAGAGCCCGGGTGAGGGGTGGAGCTGGGTGAGGGTGAGTGAGAGGGTGAGTGCCCAAGGGTGCCTCGATCTGGGGGGTCGCGCGGAAAGCCTGGGTGCGCAAGGTAGACTCAGGCGCCGGGGCCTCTCCAGCAGAGCCACCCGGACCCAGAACTCCGGATCCCTCGCCCACAGCTACCCCATGCAAATAAATCTGGGACCGCATATATTATGCTAATTAAAGGAAAGTCTGGGCGGGCGTGGGCGGGGCCTCCCCAACCAGCCGCGCCCATTGGCCCTCGCAGGGCTTACGTCCCGAGCACCGCGCGCGAAACGCTGGCGGGATGGCGGGGGCGAGCAGCTGGGGCGGAGTCTGGCGTCCCCACCAGCGTCCGGCCGCACCCGTTCTCCCGGCTGAGCGGAGACTACCGGCAGCCGCCGCCGCCGCCACCGCCACGAGCTGTCCCTGCGGCTCGCTTGCCCCGGCAGGGCCGGCCGCACTGCGCTCCGGCGCCCCGCGCGTCCCCGGCCTCGGCCCCGGCGTGGGGGCGCCGGGCCCGCGCGTGCGCAGCGCGGGAGGGGGCGCGGGCCGGGACCCCCGGCCGGCGCGTGCGCGAACGGAGCCTGGGCGGCGGGCGGGCATCGGGATGAGTCTCCGCGCGCTGTGGCACCACTAAGGAGGAGGCCGGGGGCCGAAGGGAGCGCGGACCACCCGCGCCGGGCCGGGCCATGGCGTTCCTGGCCGGGCCGCGCCTGCTGGACTGGGCCAGCTCGCCACCGCACCTGCAGTTCAACAAGTTCGTGCTAACGGGCTACCGGCCGGCCAGCAGCGGCTCCGGCTGTCTGCGCAGCCTCTTCTACCTGCACAACGAGCTGGGCAACATCTACACGCACGGTGAGCCGCGCCCCGCATCCCACACCCGCGGCAGCCCTGCCCGAGCCTGGAGGGGGGCCGGAAGGCCGGCGAGCGCCCCACTGCTAAGGTCCTGGGCTGCCTGGGCCCTGGCACGGCCAGGAGCCGTGGTGACAAAGCTGCCATTGTCCCGGACGGAACTGTCCTTCCGCTCCCCGGGCGGGGCCCCGGGGCAGGCGAGGGAAGCAGTAGTAGGGGACCAAGTCCGCTTAATCCCTCTGAGCCCCGGGGAGGAGTCTGGTGTCCGCCCCCTTTCATAATCCCTGCGTCTGGGGCACCCTCCCCCCGCCCACATTCGTCCAGTAGACGGGTGTTGACATCGGCTGCGAGGGGCCCAGGAAAAGAAGCCAGGCCTCAGCCCCTCCCCGTGCGGCTGCCCTGCCACCCCCGGGGCCGGAGCAGCCCGGCCGCAAGGCTCCGCCTGGTGGCGGCTCCTTCCTCCCCCCCGGCAGGCGCCCAGCCCCTCCTCCGCGGCCCTGCTCTGCTGACACAGCCCTGCCCGTCCTTGGGCTGCCCGGCGCCACAAGAGGGGCCTGAGCAGACTGGGCCCAACCTTGGTACCTGCCTCACTGGGGTACTATGGCCCGGCCAGACCTTGGCTGGTGTGCAGCCTCAGTCTGCTGTGCCCACCTTTGACCCCTGTGAGGGCAATGCCAGTACCCAGGGGAAGGGGTAGGAATTGCCCTGGTTGGAGCCAAGAGGAATGGAGCACGAGAAAAAAAAGTGCCTAAAGGAGATGGATCAAGCTTCTTCAGCCCCTCTCCCTTGCCTGACTTTGCCCCTTTCTAGAAGACAAAAAGATCCAAAGCCTCCTGGTGTCTGGTCACACAGGCTTTGGGAGAAGCAAGCTAAGTGACCAGGGGATCTGGTATCATTGCCCACATATCCTATTCAGAATTCAGCATGAGGTCATGCCTCCTTCTGGCTTCTGACACACCAAGTTTGGGGGATTGGGCCCCCCGCTTTCTGGGGAGGTAATGTGGCTGAGGGATGGGAACAGTGTGGGCGTTAAGACTGTGTCCATGGCCTACCTGCTGGGCTCACCCGGGGCACTCACTCCGTGTCTTCAACTGAAAGTGTCGATAACCATCTCTACTTCCAGAATTGTGAGCTCTGCTGTCATGGAAGTTACTGAAGGCACAGGGCTGCCCCTGTCAGAGGCCCGGCTGCTCTGTGCTGAGAGCACTGCCAAGACTGGTCTTGCCTCATCCCTCTTGTGTTATCTCTAGACTGTGGACTCCCTGAGGACGCGACTTGTCCTCTGCGCTCCAGCCGTGTGATGGCTCATTGTCTCCCTCCCCCAGGGCTGGCCTTGCTAGGCTTCCTGGTGCTGCTGCCAGCGACCATGCCGTGGGGTCAGCTGGGCGAGGGCGGCTGGCTGGGGGGCACGCACTGTGTGGCCTGCCTGGCACCCCCCGCAGGCTCCGTGCTGTACCACCTCTTCATGTGCCACCAAGGGGGCAGCGCTGTGTACACGCGACTCCTTGCCCTGGATATGTGTGGGGTCTGCCTCGTCAACACCCTCGGTGAGCCAAGGGATGGAGTGGGTCGGCTTGAAGGGTGGGAGCTGGTGGGGGAGGTGGTAGAGGCAGGGGTCACTCACGTGAGCCCTGGGTATAAAGGGCAGGCAGTTAGTTGCCCAGACTGATGTGCCTTCTCCTGCCTCTCTCTCCGGTACAGGGGCTCTGCCCATCATCCACTGTACCCTGGCCTGTAGGCCCTGGCTTCGCCCAGCCGCTCTGCTGGGCTACACCGTGCTGTCGGGTGTGGCCGGCTGGCGGGCCCTCACGGCTCCCTCCACCAGTGCCCGGCTCCGCGCCTTCGGCTGGCAGGCTGCAGCCCGCCTCCTGGTGTTTGGGGCCCGGGGAATGGGGCTGGGCTCCGGGGCTCCAGGCTCCCTACCCTGCTACCTGCGCATGGATGCGCTGGCACTGCTCGGGGGGGCTGGTGAACGTGGCCCGCCTGCCGGAGCGCTGGGGACCCGGCCGCTTCGACTACTGGGGCAACTCCCACCAGATCATGCACCTGCTCAGCGTGGGCTCCATCCTCCAGCTGCACGCCGGCGTCGTGCCCGACCTGCTCTGGGCTGCCCACCACGCCTGTCCCCCAGACTGAGCCACCTCCCGCCTGCCACGCCGGCCTCCTGACAGTCCTCTGGAACCAATAGTGTGCTTCACTCCTGCTGCTGGTCTTGGAGGGGCCGATGGCCTGGATGCTTCCAGCAAACAGGACTTCCCAGCTGGGAGCCCTCATCTGTTCGTCCGTTTTTCCTTGTGGACTAACCTCTTCTACTCATACCTCGGAGCTCTGGCTTTCCCTCCCTGCTACCTTCCTTCAGGGTACTGTCCGGGTAGGCTAGAAGGAACCCTTTCCTTCCTAGGCCTCAGTTTATCCTTTGTGACCTATGAGGGCATGGCTGGAGGGACTCCGGGGTCATGTCTGGCTCCGACAGTTGGAACCCTACCAGCCCAGAGCCATGAGCCCACTCTGCCCCACACGTAAGGTATCTTATATGGGTGCCTGGCCCAGCCTTCAGCCCCTATTCCCTGACTTTTGTCTTTCTGCTCTGCATGCCAGCCCTCCCTGCAGCCTGAGGCTCACCTCCCCTCTTCTCCCTTCTGTCCAGAGAGTGAGGAGTTTGGGCAACAGGACCAGTCTCTTAACCCAGGACCAAGGGGTAGGAGGGCAGCTGCAGTTGCTTTTTCCAGGCAGCTAGCACAGAGACATGAGAGCTGAGGGGCACTGGACTCAGGGGTCCACTGGGCTGAGGCCCCCTCTCCACTCTGAGTGCAATGCTCTGATGGCCCAACCTACACAGTGGGGATGTGCCTGCTCAGGAAATCTCGGCTACATGCAGCGCATGGCTCCCGCCTCCAACCAGCTGGCCTGGGGCCCTGCATGAGGGCCCAGCCTCGGCCCACGCTGGGGCCGCAGACCCTGGACAACATCAGTAAAGGGGCGGGAAGCACAGTGTTGCCACACAAACAAGCATGGGTGCTCCCGAGATTCAAATACCTTTTATTAGACATGGGTAGGCAGGAGGCACCCCTGGAGCTCCCAGAGGGACCCCAGCCTCCAGGAGGACTGGGGGGGGGGGGAGGCTAAAAGGTTAAAAGCACTGAGGCTGGCCTGTAGACTCAGGTTGGGCCCAATGAGTCCTCAAATAGGCTGAGGAGGTTCCGAGGTTCAAAGGCGGGGAAGGAACCCCGAGGGGGCTCAGAGTCAATGTCACTTAGGTCCAGGGCTTCCCTGGGGTGGGAGGGAAGAGAGACAAATGACAGTCAGGGTCTGAAAGCCACTACCTCCCACCCCCCTGGATTCTGGACCTGCTCACCTCAGTGAGTACCTGTTCCGGGGGGCAGGGGAGCCATTGCGGGGGGTGGAGGTGTTCCCGGCAGCCCTGGCCAGGACGGCCGCCGGAGAGAGCGAGAGCCTGCACGGGAGGGGCCAGACAAGTAAGGTGTCGGGGGGGGGGGGGTGCACGGGGAGGAGGCCACAGCTGGTTGGGAGCAGCAAGACCAACCCTGTCCCTATGCAGGTGCCAGGCTCCAGCCTGACATGGGTGGGGATGGGGACCCAGTGGGGAACAGCAGAAACTCGGTGCCCTTTGACAGAAGCACTTTCACAACTCTGAAAGGCCACCTGACCACTCAAAGGCCACGTCCGTTCTGTCTCGGAACACGTGGTTAGGACGGCTGGCTTTGTAGTGACCTTGTGGAGATGAAGCTTTTCGGGTACTTCCTGTCGATATGAAGTGTCCCCGTGGCAAGGGGGTGACGTTTCCGTAAGGAAGGGGTTAATGGTGATTTCTCCTGAGGCCTGTGCCCCAAGCATGTGGTTCTCTTTTGCAGCAGTTTCTTAATTACAGCCCCTCACTTGGCCACCAGGAGTTTCCCAGGACCAGCTCCTCGGTGCCTCATCTGTGGACACAGGCAGCCCCTGCTGGGGGGGGGGGGGGGTACCTGGGCGGCAGTGCCCCAAGCGCAAAGTTGCCAGGTATGCTCTGCTCCACACATTCCCTACACCGAGCTTGGAAGAGACTGCCGCATTCACGGCCAGGCTGCACCCCACCGGCCTCGGTTCCCGTCCCAGGGCGTGACGGGGGCTAGGTTTGTGGGAAGGGTCCTGCTCACCACTAATTCTCTTGGGTCTGGGGCCTGGACGTGATGACCACCCCGTCTCCCACCCCCAGCACCCTCAGCTCTCACCCACCCTATGCTGTCATCATCCCAGCTGCTGGAGAGGCTGCTGTGCAGGAGGACGCTGCAGGGTGGGGAGCCAGGCGGGGTGGCTGGGGGGCTTGGGGGCTGCAGCCAGCCGGCAGGACGGGCCAGTCCATGCCAGAGCCAGCACAGCAAGGAGAGCAGGGCCTGCGGGGACAGGGGTGGGGGAGGCAGATCAGACCCTGTGGTCGGGGAGCAGGGTGGGCACCCTGCCCCATCAACCGACTTACCTGCCACAGGGCCCACCCTCGACTGAGGGCGTCAGCAGCCACATACCACAGAACGCTCCAGGGCCGAGGCCGCCTGAGCATGGGCAGGGCCAGCAGGGCTGAGGCTGTGGCCCGCAGCTTGGGGTCAGGTTCCAGCATCATGGTGAGGACAGAACGCAGCTCGGAGGACAGGCCTGTCCACGGGGCAGGGCCATGTCAGGAGTGAGGGGCTCTAAGCTCAGTGTTCCCCACTGCCGGCCATTCCCTCCCATGCAAGCCTGTCCTCCCTGGGGCAGCACGGTCCTCTCCATCCTTGCCTTCTACTTACCAGCCGTGAACTCAGGGGGCAGATAGCCCTGGCGAAGCTGCTGCCAGCCCTCCCCACCGTGGGGCAGCTCCATGTTGCACGCCACTTCCAGGATGGTGAGACCCAGACTGGGAAGGACAGGGGCAGTGACAGAAGAGGGGCAAGGTTGGCCTTGGGATGACAGATCCCAGAGCTCCAGGCTACCCAAGAAGAGGGTGGGGAAGGGGTACTGTCTTCTGCCATGAGCCAGGGACATGGTTGGGGGGCAGTTGGGGAGTCCTGAGAAGGACTCAACAGGGCCAGTGATGGGACCATGTTGTGGAGCATGGACCCTGGGCAGAGCAGAGCCTACAGCAGCTGGTGAGTCCTCCTGGCACCCCTCACTGACTGCACGGGCACTGTGGTTACTAATGTTCCCATCATGGTTCTGTGGATAAGGCTGGACATGGCTCTTCGAGGCCAAACAGGGTTATTAGCATGGACGAGGGGACCCAGTGCCTGGTCCAGTCCCAGCTTCACCACGTGCTAACTGGACTTTGGGCAAGTCCCTCAACCCCACTGTGTCCGTTACTTGTAAGTGTGGTCATTGTCTCCCCCGTGGGGGGTGTGGCAAGGATGGGGTGGACCCATGTGAAGTGGCTCCAGAGGGTCCGCTGCTTAGACAGCCCAACTCTACGGAACCCCCTTGCCTACAGGGCGGGCCTCCACCCCTTCAGGGCAGGGTGTCCAGCCCAAGGCCGAGTCTTCCTGACTTTGGACTAGGGCAGCGTTTCCCTCCCTCTGCTAACTGCACCCACCCCTGGCCCACCGCAGAGCCTCTCACGTCCCAGCCCTCACCTGAACACGTCCGCCGCTGTCCCATAGGAGCCCTGCAGCAGCTCGGGAGCCATGTACCTGGGGTCCCCCTCCTGGGCCTCTCCAGCTCCAGGTGTGCCCAGCTCAACCAGCAGCCCAAAGTCACCCAGCTTGCAACGGCCCCGGGGTCCCAGGAAGATGTTGGCAGGCTTGACGTCAAGGTGGACCAGGCCTTGGCCGTGGAGGTGAGCCAGGGCCAGCAGGGTGTCCCGCAGGTAGCCCCAGACCTGGGCCTCGGGCAGGCCGGTGCCCCAGGCCTCAGAGTGCTGCTGCAGGCTGGGCCCGCACAGCTCTGTTTGCAGGTACAGGATGCCGCCCTCCTCCCAGGCTTGCTCCAGCCGCACACAGCGTGGGTGCTGTCCCACCTTCTCGTGGCCGCCGACCTCGGCCAGCTTGCGGGCCCGGTCCTTGGGGCCCCGGAACGGTGACATGGAGCGCTTTACTGCATAGAGCCGGCCGTCTTCCTTAGAGCGTACCTGGAAGGGAGGTGGTGCCCGTGGCGGGGAGTGGAGGGGGCACCGGCACTTAGGAGGCCTGCCGGGCGGGTTCTATTATGACCACACACGCGTGGACGTTCTAGCAGAGCTACCTTAGGGATACCCGCGCACGTGCAATAGAGAAACTGGATGACCCACTCCAAGAGCTCAAAGTCTGGACCCAGGAGGGTCTCTGTGGCCCGCGGTTCTGTGAGGGCCGGCTGCAGAACCGCGTGGGCAGGGTGAGCGCTGTGCGGAATATAAAGTGAGTTTGTTTCTCAATGATCAACTCTGGGCATGTATAGGGAAAGGTCTGGAAGGAAAGACACCCCCCTGAGAAGCACAGTAGCTGCCTCTACGAAGAACTGGTCTAGGGGCCGTTGTTGTTTGTACTTTTTAACGACAAAATTGTCTCCCGTGTAGTACTTGTGTAAGGAGAATGACCATTTTAAAGGGAATATAAATGATTGGAAATATATTTTAAGAAAAAAAACAAAGTGGCATGGAGGGTGTAGCCTGGGTGCCTGCTTGCCTGAGGTGACGGGGGAAGGGCGCACTGCACAGAGCGGGCCGGCTCCATGGCAGGAGAAAGGGCAGCCGGGAGCCACTGTGCGGTGTGCCAGGCTCAGGGCAAGGGGAGCGTGGGTACTGGGGGGCCTGAGCAGGGGGACGGGGAAAGCAGTCAGATCAGGCACTGACGATGGGAGCCTGTCAAGCCATGAGAAGCAGGGAAGGGAGGCGGGGGGAGGGTCCCCCAGCAGCCCTAGGGAGTTGTGCCCCCACTCACCTTGAAGACCTCTCCGTAAGAGCCGTGGCCCAGGCGGCCAAGCCTCTGGAAACTCTGTTGGAAAAAGGACTCCGGCCGGCTGGGGTCATACGAGGGGCTCTGCAGGGTCTCAGAGGCTTTGCCTCGGAATGACACCCTCCGGGGCTGCGGCTGGTGCCAGCCCGGGGTCCGAGGAGGGAAGAGGCGGCTGACGGGGATGCTGCCCTTGGCAGGGGGTCGGGGTGGGAGGCTCCGACTGAGACCCCCAGGCCTCTTGAGGGAGAAGCCAGGTTCGGCATGGCGGAAGTAGGCTGGGACTGGGACAGGGGTACCACTCAGCGGGGGAGGGGTGCCCTCTGTGGGCACGGGCATGGCCAGCACAAGAGACCCCAAGTGCACAGTACAGAGCACTGTGTCCACTCAAACAGTGCCTGGTCCTGTGGCCCCAAAGGGGCTTCGGAAAAGAGCCACGCCCACTCCGCACGCAGGTTCAGCTTTAAACATGGAGGCCACAGGGACAGCAAGCACCTGCGGGAGAAGTAGAAGACAAATACGTGTGCGTCAGCACACAGTCATCTGTACCTTGGAGGTCATAGAAGCATAAAGTGAAAAGCCCAAGGCCATGTCCTAGAGACTCCCACAGCCCAGCAGAGTTTAAGATGAGGCAGGTTCCACAGCCGGACCGCCTGCCTGTGTGTCCTTGCCCCGTCACAACCAGCTGTTTGGCCCGAAAATTTACACCTTCTTCCAAAAATGTAAGGCGGAAATATTAACACAGGCCCAGCATCTCTTATCTCCAATTCAAAAGTAAAAACAAAGGTCTGAAGCCAAGTTTCTTTCCTGACTTCTTTCTCCTAGCTGTGGGGCTGAAACTCATCTCATGAAGCTCCACTTCCCGCTCCGGGTGGCAGGTGCGGCAGACAGGCCGGGGCTCCCTCTGCCATCAGCCCCTGCTCAAGAGGCAAAAGCTCAGCCTCAGGGCCAGGGGGCTGGGAACACGGAGGCCTGATAACTCAAGCCCAAGCTCATTCACAGGAAGGAGGCTCCCCCGTGGGAAAGGTGAGCAGAGAAGGCCAGAGGCTGCTGTCCCCACCCTAAGGCAGCAGCGTCACCCAGGGAGACGGGCACCACTGTCCCTGCCCTCAGCTCCAGAGCTGCGGCCTAGGGATTCTGCCTGTGGAGAAGCAGACAATGACACAGAAAGTTCTGAGGCTCTCTCTGGGGGGGGGGGGGACTTTTTTTGAAACAATGTGTGGGAAGTTCAAGCTTAAAGGCGCTCTCAAAGTCAGTGGAGGTTTTGGTGGTAAGCAAATGCGAGGAAGCTGGCACCACCATTAGTGTAACAAAGTACTCCATGGGCCAGCCAGCTTCCCAGAGAGAACTGGGGAAGGAGACAGCTAGCAAGAGCCCTGCTGGGGTCAGAACACACCCCAGACACTGAGTGCAAAAACTCCCTTGTTGAAGGAGCCCCAATTTAATTAGATCAGTCTATGGAGCAGTGGAGCCCGAGGCAGCGTCAGAAACAGTGGGACGATCAGCCCACAACTGGTGGAGTAGGAGCTGAGGGAGGGGAAGGGCAGAGAGCGCCCCTGGGAAGCCCCTGGTGCTCCAAGGGGTGCACGGGGTGCCCAGCTGGGCCCTCCGAGGAGGGGGTGAGAGAGACGTCACTACAAGGGCCCAGCCGGTCACGAAGCAAATAAACAAGCAAACAAAGTCACAAGCCGCAGAGGACCAGTGAGAAACCAGTACCCACCGTTGCTATGGCACTGTCTAAAATATCCAGTTTTCCACAACAACAACAAATTACAAGACACACAAAGGCATAGGAAAGTGTGACCCACACACAGGAACAAAGCAGGAGACAGAAACGACTGGTAAGAGGGACCAGATGTCAGATTTCACGGATGAAGATGTCAAAGTAGCCACTCCAACTGGGTTCAAAGAACTAAAGGGAACTGTGCTTAAAGAGAACTGTGATGACAACACCTCACCAAATAAAGAATATTGATAATGAGATAGAAATTATAAAAGGAACAAAGTGGAAATTATGGAAATGAAAGGTGTAATACCGAAATGGGAACATTCCTGGGAGATGTCCAACAGTGGATTTGAGCTGGCAGGATGCTAGCCAGTCTGAAGACAGAAGGAGAGAGATTATTCAGTCGAACAACAGACGGAACAAATCAGGAAGAACCGGGAACAGAGCCTCAGAGAAAAGTAGAACACCATTAAGTTCACCAGTGTCCGCAGAATGGCACGTGGGAAGGAAAGAAGAGAAGCAGCAGGGAAAATACACTAAGAAATAACAGGGGAAAACTTCCCAGATGTGATTCCCAGAAAAACCTCCCGCCCCAAGAAAAACGCATCAATCTAGCCAATGAGCTCAATGAACTTCATGTAGGATAAGCCAAGAGATCCACATCCAGAAACATTGTATTAAAAAATGTTGACAGCCAAAAACAAGGACACAATCTTGAGAGTGGCGAGAGGGAAAAGGACTCATCACTTATAAGCCCCCCACCCCAGGAGATTAACCGCTGACTTCTCACCAGAAACAGCCAATGGCAGAAGGCGGTGGGGGGGCATATTCAAAGTGTGGGGGAGGGCAGTTTGTCAGCCAAGAATTCTATATCCAACAAACTATCTTTCAAAAATAGAGGCAAAATAGGGATGCCTGGGTGGCTCAGTCAGTTAAGTGTCTGCCTTCAGCTGAGGTCATGATCCCAGGGCCCTGGGATCGAGCCCCACATCCAGCTGCCTGTTTGGCAGGGAGCCTGCTTCTCCCTCTGCCACCTCCCCTGCTTGTGCTCTCTCTCTGTCAAATAAATAAATAAAATATTTTAAAAAAATAAAGCCAAAATAAAGACATCCCTGGATAAAAACAAAAAATTCATTGCTAATAGAGCTGCTTTATAAGAAAAACTAAAGGTAGTTCTCCATGCTAAAAGTACATGATTCCAAATAGTAATCAGAATCTATATGAAGAAACAAAGCACTGATAAAAGTAATTATGTGGTTTTGAAGGGGCGGGGGGGGGGGGAAATTGGGCCAGCCTGGTGGTGGGTATTGTGGAGAGCACATATTTGCACGGAGCACTGGGTGTGGTGCATAAACAATGAATTCTAGTACACTGAAAAGTAATAATAATAAAAAAAAAGTAATTATGGGCACCTGGGTGGCTCAGTGGGTTAAGCCGCTGCCTTCGGCTCAGGTCGTGATCTCAGGGTCCTGGGATCAAGTCCCACATCGGGCTCTCTGCTCAGCAGGGAGCCTGCTTCCCTCTCTCTCTCTCTCTCTGCCTGCCTCTCTGTCTACTTGTAATCTCTCTCTGTCAAATAAATAAATAAAATCTTAAAAAAAAAAAAGTAATTATGTGAAACAGAAGACAATGTGGGGTGCCTGGGTGACTCAGATGGTTAGGCATCTGCCTTCGGCTCACGTCCTGATCTCCAGGTCCTGGGACTGAGCCCCACGTCAGGCACTCAGCTCATTGCGGAGTCTGTTTCTGCCTCTTCCTCTGCCCCTCCCCCCTGCTTGTGCTCTCTCTGTCTCTCTCTCAAATGAACAAATAAAATCTTTAAAGGAAGCGTTAACGTTTACATGTAAATATGTATTTCTTCTCTTAGCTGATTTAAAAAGCAATTGTACAAAACAATATGTATGTCATTGTATGTTGGGCATATTAAGTATAGACATGTAACATACATACTGTTAGCCCAAAAGAGCTGGGTGGGAACAGAACGATACTGGACTAGGAGATGACACCAGGTGAATCCACAGGAACAAGTGAAGAGAATCAGAAATGATAAACAAGATCAATATAACAAACATCATACATATAGACCTGCTTTCTATTCTTCCCTCAGCTTCTCAAAGAAAGTAAAGACAATATAAATAAATGGAAAGACATTATATGTTCATAGATCCAAAGAACTAACATAGATAAAAAATGGCAATACTTTCCAAACCGATCTACAAATTCAGTAAAATCAGAATCAGAATCCCAGCTGGCTTCTTTGTAGAAATTGAGAAAATGATCCTAAAATTCATACGGAATTTCACAGGTCCCAGAATAGTCGAAACAAAGTTGGAAGTCTTGCATTTCCTGATTGTAAAGCTACAGGAATCAGAACAGTGGTATTCACAGAAGGACAGATGTATAGATCACTGAAATGCAACTGAGAGTTTAGAGATAAACCCTGACACTCACAGTCAACTGATTTGGACAAGGGTACTGAAACCATTCAGTGGGAAAGAAGTCTTCTCTACAAACAGTGCTGCAACGACTGGATCTCCACATGCAAAAATCACCGAGCAGAAAACTCAGACTTAACTTCTTTTACCCTCTAACAGTGAATGTTCATGTACTTCTTTTTTTTTTTTAATATTTTATTTATTTGACAGAGAGAGATCACAAGTAGAGAGAGAGAGAGAGAGAGAGAGAGAGAGGAGGAAGCAGGCTCCCTGCCTAGCAGAGAGCCTGATGTGGGACTCGATCCCAGGACCGTGAGATCATGACCTGAGCTGAAGGCAGAGGCTTAACCCACTGAGCCACCCAGGCAGCCCTGTTCATGTATTTCTTGACAGAAATATTAATGGGTTTGATTATGGGATGATGTCCTAGGCCCACAGGTGATGTTACATATAAATGATGTGTGTACCCTATTAGCTTTCTAAAATCAAGAGACATGTTGAATTCAGAAACACACCGAGCCACAGGGCATTGTGGACGGTAATACCTCAGGGAAGGCTCAGCCCAGTGTCTGGCATACAGATCCCCCAGTAAATGCTGTTACATAACAAGTAATATATAATAGTGTTCTGAGTGGTAACTGAAGGAACACACAAAGTGCAACCGTCCCAAGGTGTGTGTTGGGAGAGAAAGGGCTCTTATGTTGCTATAATGTTATAACAGAAACATTATAAACAAGAAGACCAAAGAGGAGGAGTCCAATTTGGAGAGGAAGCCACAGTGTATCAAAAGATACCATACCCAGCAAGGAGTGAGTCAGTAACAGAACCAGGAGGGAGCAGTCCTCTGAAGTGGTGTGCCCTCCAGTAGCTGGGACAGTGAGAGGACAGGGGAGGGACCCCCCCCCCCAGGGGCCTGCAGGGAAGACACCCTACACCCTGTGGGGACCCTTCCTCCGCAGGGTTCACCTCAGGATTCCCATGTCAGGTTTCTTCGAGCGCAGAACCAGGGTGTCAGAACCCCCTCCAGCGCTGGTTAGAGGCCCAGTCCCAGCATGTTGGGGACATCAGGCACCTGCCTCTTAAACCAGTTCTTAGACCACCCCAATATCCCTTGCATTCTAGCACCACTTGGCCTGGCTGAACAGCTTTGGGGAGGGGACAGGGGAGAGAGAAGGAACAAGGGCTCCCCCAGAGAGTCCAGGGTGGCCCGGAGCAGGCCGGCCTGCGTGACCTCTGGAGCTTTCTCACCCTCTCACTGGGCCGGACACATCGCTGACCACGGTCTACCGCACTAGACTGTGAGTTCCTCCCGGGCAGGGCCACAGCTGGTTCACCTCGGTGGACGTGGGGAAACCCTGGCGAACATCCGAAGAGACCGGCTGTCAAGGGTGAGGAGCTACTCCCGGAGAGGGCCCGGTAAGGGGGGGGGGCAGTCTTCGGGGAAAGGCGCTCCCAGAAAAGGGGCCTGGGAGGCCGGGGAAGGCCAGGAGGGCCGGGGCCCGCCCCGGGAGCCGAGGCAGGGCAGAGGGCGGGGCCGCCGCGGGCAGGGCGCGACCCCGCGGGGCCGGGAGCCGTTGAGGCTGACCCCAGCAGGGGCTGTCACGGGGCAGAGGCTGCCGGGAGGGGAGTCCCGGCCCACCACCCTCAGGACCCGGCCTGGGCTCACCTGGAGGGCGGGGAGCAGCTCAGCAAGGTCCCAGATTCCGGGTCGGCAGAGGCTGCGGAAGCCCCCGGGGCGGTCAGGCGGGCTGGGGCCTGCGGGCGACAGCTCTCTACCGGAGGACTCTCGGAGGGGAACGGCCCGTGAACGCGCGCAGAGCCGGCTCGCGCCAAAAATTCCAAACCTGCCTCGAGGCCCCGCCCAGGAACGCCTTCTGCTCCGCCCACTCCCGGATGCAGCCCATCAGAGTCGCCCAGGGCGCCGGGGCTCCGCCCCCCACGTCTCTGCGTGCGCGTCACCGGGCCCGCTCCGCTGGCTCCTCAGGGCGTGCCCTCTCACTGCGCAGGCGTGACGTCTCTTCGGCGCCAGCCCGGCGGAAGCTACGACGCGGTACGGTGCCCTGGCTGAGGGGTGGCGCGGAGTCCGAGTTGGCCGATGGACCTCTCCCACTCGGTTCCCGGGATGTGGACAGACCTCCAGACCCCAGTCCCGCACCCACCGCCCTCTCTTCGCTGGCTTGGTTTTCGAGACTGTAAAAGGGGCGGTTTGCCCCAGAGGTGCCCCAGGAGGCGGTCCCTCGGGACCAGACGGGAAGTCCCTGCGGCCTCCGGGTCCCAGCGGGGTGGGACGCCCTGGGTTCTCTGGCTCCGTCATGCCTGCCGTCACCTCACCGGGATGCCAGACATTCTCCCACCCCCCGGGGAAGCCCTGCAGACTGGCCGCGGCCGCCTCCGAGGCAGCCCTAACCATTCTCTGGATTTGAGATTCGAGCTCAACTCAACCCTGCCTCAGCCCCTCCCGGGCTGAACGACCTTGGGAAGGCACCGGGCCTTTCCGTGCTTCGGATTAGTCTCTTCTCCTGCAAAAACTGGGCTGATTGATGCAGCTTTCCCCAAGCAGCTAGAGGTTCACATTGGATGATCCCCTTAAAGTCCTTAGCGGGGAGCCGGGGCAGGGCAAGGGCTAGTTCCTAACAATAGCGCGGCTGGGGGTTGCCCCTTCCTTCACATAGGGCACCTTTTATCCGTTTAACGGGGTGCTTCCAGGCCACCCTCTCTAGAACACTCCCCATCTTGTCGCACCTTATTTTCGTATTACACTTCCTCTATCTGAAATCCTGTCCTCTATTTACTGGTTTATTTGTTTACCACCCATCCCCCAAGTTTCTGACAGGTTAGGGTTCCCAGCCCATTGTGCCTGCACCTTCAGGGAACATTCCAGTTCACGGACCAGCACGGGAGGGCCTGGCATATCAGGTTAGGCCCATAGACTTGGAGCTTCTCTGGGGGCTGGATCCGCCCCCCCCCCCCCCCCCGCCCCCGCACACCCTTCCTTTGCATTTGCATCTCTGGCAGCCACAGCCCCTGTGACTCAGGCTGGATCCTTGTGAAAGACCCCAAGCTTGTCCCCAGGAGGCCTGGGGAAGCAGGGGGGCCTCTCTCCAGCTGCCATCCCCTCTGCCAGTCCCATCTCCCAGAAGTCCGGGACCTTGGGCTTCTTCCAGCTGCCCACTCTTGAAAGCCTGCTTTGCAATTATTTAAAGTAAATATTTTTAAAATTCAAAAATATTCTTCCAAGGGATATTTCCCTCTGTGGAAGGACTGTATTATGAAGTTAAGTACAGATAGGAGAGAGCACCGCTCGTGGAGTAAGGAAAATTAGGGCTCTACCCTGCTCTGCTGTACAGGTAATCTGTGCTGTCGTGAGCGAGTTGCTTTATGTTTCTGGACCTGTTTCCATGTTTGTGAAATGGAGATGATAGTTCCCACGTCCTTGTAGGGTAGGAGCACTACATAAGAAAATGAATGCAAAGGGCTTAGGTCAAGGCCGAGCAAGCACACAGTAGGAGCTTACTCACCGTTTAATAATAACAGCAACATTCTGTCATTTGTATCGAGTTGTACAGGTTTTCAAAGCAGCTGCCGGGGCCAAAAGGAAGTTCCTGGGGAGAGGAACCAGGACCCCCACACCCGCCCCGGGACCACAGGGGCAGAGGCAAGGGCCCGCAGGCTTTGAGACCAAAGAACTTGGAGGGGGCTGGGCCCACGAAGAAGCCCCCCCGCCAGGCTCCCGGCTCTCCCGCCCCTGGCCCCCAGGCCCCGGACCCCGGCCCCCGGCCCCCAGCCCAAGCGCTGGGTTCCCGGGGTCCCGCCCGCGCTCCGTTGAGAGCCGGCTCGAGCCCCGCGCGCCCCCGTGTGTCCCGTCGCCGCAAGAGCGCTATGGCCACACCCAGACTCTCCCAGGGAAGTTGGACTAACGTGACTTAAGCAGGGAAAGGACGGCCCAGGGGCAAACAGGGCACCGTAACGAAGAGGGGATTGTGGTGGGTGCGTCGGGGGAGCCGGTCTTGGTGTCAGGTGCGGTGGGTGTTGTATAGGTGTGTTAGTGTGCATTTGTCTTACCCACGCTTCTGGGTGTGTGCCTCATTTCACACTAGCACAGGTTTAGTAAACCGGCGTGGGGTGGAGACGGAGTTAACAGAGGTCAGCGTTGGGAGGGCCTGGAGGTGCCGGCAGCGGTGTCTCCGAGTCAGCCAGGGCAGGGGTCTGCGCTGAAGAGCTGCCCGATGGAGGGCCGAGCGGGTGACCCAAGGGGATTGAGCACAGTCGCAGGTTCACGGGGCGCCTGCTTCCCCTCCAGCTGTCCTCCCCAAATTCCCTCCCACCCGGGCAGGTGCTGCTCTGAACAGCTGGCTGGGAGTCTGCTGACAGGCTTTGCCATTTTAGGCGACACGCTTCCTGGGCCTCTGCTTTGCTCTCCCAACACCCAGCTGTCGCCTTGCCCTGGGCTCTTAGCTCTATCCCCTCAAAGTTGCTCCTCTCCTTGGAAGCCGAGCCACCATGTCCTCTCACGCCTGGGAGAGAAGGTTCCCGAGGCTGGGACTCCATCAGGGGCTCTCCCGGCCTCCACGTGGTCCAGGGGCTCTTAGCCAGGCTGGCTTGGGCTAGGGGATGGCCTGAAGGGACTGGATGTGCTGGGGGAGGGGTGGCACTGTTGCATGGGCCAGGGGTGCCCCACTGGGCTTGGCCCCCAGCATCATGAAGCTGGCCCAAGCCCCAGGCTGGCTGGCATTTTCCACCACCGGCCCATACCAGCCCCCAGGCAGCCTGGCAGTGGCGGTGGGCACCAGCATTCCCTTTGGCAGAAGACTCGCAGGCACTCGGCCCGAACCCCCTGCATGGCCCCTCCTGGTCTGTGCCCACCTCCTCGTGGGCCAAGCTTCCCTGGCACCCGGTGGGGCAAGCCTTGTGTCTGGGTCTGTAGAGGGGGCTGTTAGCTATACCGAGTCTGAAGCACACATCTTGGGCCCAGAGTGACATGAGGCAGGCAGAGAGCAAGGCAGTGTCTGGGATAACTGGGCCTGCAGACTGTCTGTCTTCAAGTCCCAGGCCCCGTGCTTGGGAGCTGTAGGACCTGAGCCCATTCCCTTCTCCCTTGCTGCCCATCTGTAAGACGGGAGTAAGAAGCAGCTCCCCCCAGTAGCCCTGACACGCTGGATGTCAGTGTCTTCGTTGTAGAGGAAAGAGAACGGGCCCAGGGAGGCTGGGTTCCTGCTCCCGCATCCTGGCCGGATAGAGCGGGTATTTGAATCCAGTCGGAATTTGAATCCAGTGGCTGGCCTGGTAACCACAAGCCCACTCCGAGGCCCTCGAGGAGACTAGGGAGCTGGTGCTTGCCTTTACGGGATGGAGCAGGTGGCCTGGCAGGAAGCCCTCCCCGGGGAGTCTGCAGAGATCGTCCCACCTGTTCTGGGCTCTCCTGGGGTGGCTGGGCCCAGGGGCCTGGGGCCCCTCCCAGCAGCCAGTAAAAGGTCCAGCCCTCAGGACTCTGGCTCATAGCTCTATGCCAGGCAGGGGAAGCAGTGGGCACATGGGGGCGCCTCACCGGGGGCACCGGGCTGAGGGGACCTAGTGGGAACAGAGGGGGCTGTGGGAGTGTGGTCCTGGGGTGCAGCCTGGGATGTGGGTGGGAGGGCATGGACAGGCACATCTCCATGCTGGGGGGCATCTGCTCAAAGCCCTGCTGTCCCATGTGGCTAGAGGTAGCCCCTGTATGTGCCATGGTCTTGGGAGCCCTGCAGCAGGCCGACTCCCCACTGTAGCCCCTGTCTAGGCCCTCACCCCATCAGGCAGCCCCACCTGATAGGCCGCCCTCCTTAGCCAGAGGTGCCAGGAGGGGCTGGCTGGGCAGGGGCCAGACCCTCAGACAGACAGGGTGTGGAACCTTCTGGACAAGGGCCCAGGGGGGCTGAGTCACTGCTGTCCCCAGCCAGCTCAGAGGTGGGGGTTCACTCCTGGCACTTCCAGGCCTGCCTCTTCTGTCTTCCCGTACTTGGCTCCCCACCAAGCCCCCCACCTGGCCTGGGCTCCAGGCTCTTCTGCCACCCTAGAAACAGAGTGCTTCCTATCTCCACTGCCCCCTAGGCAGTGCCCCTCCCTCCAGTCCCCCCGCCTTGGAGTCACTGCTGCTAGAGCTGAGCAGGAGACCGAGGTGACACCGAGAGGGCCTCCTGTGGCAGGTGGACTCCCACCAAGCCTTCAGGCAACAGCAGTGATCCCTCAACAGGCTCCCTCTGTGTCACCATTTCTTATGGAAGGGGGTGGGGGCAGCTCCTGCTTTGGTCCCGGAGTCTCCGGGCTTAGACGAGCTAATTGCCTGGCTCTTCCTGGACAGCCTCATTGTCAGACCCAGTGTCCTGCACTGCTGCTTCTCCACGTGCCTCTGGGACACTGTGGCCTCTGCCCCCCGCTCTCCGTGCAACACAGTAACTCCTTCGGGCTCTGCTGCCAGCCACCCCCCCCCCCCCATTTCTGGGCCTGGCTTTCTCTCCCCTCTCCAGCTGTGTTTGGGCTGGGCCTGGGGTGCCTGCCTGCCCTTTGCCAGCTGCGGGGAGGGAATCTGAGCCCCCGAGGCCTGGCGCCAGGGCCCCAATCCTGACAGGGGCGGAGTGAGCCTCGGGGGCCAGGTGGGGGCCTGTCCCGGCTGTCAGCACTCGTGATGGATGAGGGGTGGGGCAGGGAGAAGGCCGGGCTCTGGAGTCCTGCCACGGAGAGAGGTGGGGGGCTGGCCCTCTGGGGTCTGCCAACAGAGCCTCTGCCCCTCACAGCTGGGGGGCCTGGGTGAGAGACCCCACCCAGGAGAGGTGCTTAAAGGCCCAAAGGGTGTGTGCCCTCCCACTCCACTCAGCATCATGGGCACCTGGGCCTTCCCCGCAGCCCTTCTCCTGCTCTGCCTGGCTTCGGAAAGCCTACAAGGCGGTGAGGGCGGGAGGCAGGCAGCTGAGGTTGGGGCTGGGAGGGCTAGGGACAGCACTGGGCCAATGCTGGGGCTCCGGGTGTGTGAGGTCTGGGGGGCAGGATTATGGGGGGTTCAGGGATAGATGCCCGGGTCCTTCTCCCTCTCCATCTCTGGGGTCCCCATCCTGAGTCTGCGCCTCCTTGCTCCCCAGGACTACCTCCATTGTCTCCGGGCCCAGGGAAAGGTAAGTGGTCCCCATTGTCACTGGGGTCAAGGGAGAGAGCCTGGTTTCTCCCCTGCGGGTCCGGGAGATCTCTGGAAGAGAGCCCCAGATGTTCCCTACCTAGTTCTGGGATCCCGATGTGGGGCCCAGGAGAGCACAGGGTCCCTCCCTGTCTTCATGGCAGACACTCTTGTCCGTGGTTAGCTCGAGTGTGGGGAGCAAAGACACCCCACACCTTTGGAACCAGGGTGAGGTATGGCAGCACGTCAACAGCAGGCATGAGACATCTCAGAGGAGGGGCTTGGAACTGGGTCTCCAAGGGGGTCAAGCTAGAACAGGGAAGAGTAAGGACATCCTGGCAGTGAGAAGGGGCAAAGGCTGGGAGGGAGGGCGGAGGTGAGAAGACGAGGCCGGTGGCCAAGGGGCTGGGCAGGTAGGGGCAGAGTGTCACAGAAGAGTCTTCAATCCAGGGATCTGTGGGGTCCTCAGGGTGGGAGAAGTGGCTCCATCCTGAGACCTGATGCACCAAAGTTGCAAGAGAGAAAGATGAGGGGGTGGGGCACCAGGAAGGGAGGGTCCAGAGACTCTCCAGAGTAAGAATGGAGCTGGGAGGGGGTTGGTGGTTGTGCCCCTGCAGAAGGAGCAGGGGGATCTGCCCCCAGGGGTCCAGCCCGAACACCTCCCCCAAGGCCCCTGCCTCCAGGCTGCTCACCTGGTGCTGTCCTCACCCCTCCTGTGACCGGAGAGGAAACTGAGGCCCAAAGGGGGTTACATTCTTGCTTGCACAGCAGAAGGGGTAGCATTCAGGTTCAGCCCTTTGCCCCCTCCTAAGTTAACCCCCTTCTCCGCAACCCACAGGCTTCGGGAGCCCCAATGGCTACAGATCAGGTAAAGCTGGCTGAGAGGATGAGCAGGTCCTCTCATGGGAGCAGCGGTATCCTCCAAATGAGGGTGAGGAACCCCAGCTCCCAGCCCCTCCCGGCCCTTCAGGTTCAACTTCCTGTCTTCATCCCCTCCCCCCCAGGCTACGGCTCCCCCAGTGGCCTGGGAGCAGGTGAGAAATGGACAAATGGGATTTGGGGGTTGGGAGAAGCAGCCACCTCAAAAATATGTGGGGACAGTGCTGATCCCACCCCGCCTCCGTCCCCAGAGAAGTGAACTGTGACCCCTTCAGGCTGGTCTCCTTATCCTCTTGTACACACTCCCCTCCCACATAGGAATCCGGCAAGACTGCTCTGATGTCATCTCACCTGTGTGCCCCACCCCAGACACCCCCAACTCTTTCCTGTCTCTGCTTGTTGTCGGTGCTGCCCCCACTGAGCCCCATGCAGTGCGGGCAAGTCTGGCTCACTGCATGTCCCCTGGGCTGACTGAGAGTGGGCTCCAAGGCCCCCTTCCCCGTTCTCCAACGGGGCTCTCCACCTCTGGGATGGGCAGATAGGAGCTGAATTCCCATAGGCCTGCTGCTCAGAAGCAGCAGGGAGGGTCCTGGGCCCCTCACCTAGTCCCTGGATCTCCCCTGGCTTCTGAGGGAAACCTGCCCAGCCCCAGCTCTGTCCCCCCACCTTTCTCTCACACCCTTTATCTCCATTTGTCCCCCCAGGATTTGGGAACGGGAATGGGCTGGGAGCCCAGCCAGGTGAGATTGGCAGGTTCTGGGGGTTGGTTCGGTTGGTTCTATCTGCCTCCCTCCCAGGCCTTAGAGGGAAGGATCAGGATTTTTCAATGATTGAGGCAGGCAGACAGGGAGCCTTCCAGTTTGCCATTTCTGGTGTGGTCCAAGGGTCCTGTACCCCCACCCTATCGAGGACTCCAAACCTCCCTTGTTCATCCCTCCCTCTCCCTATGGGTCCTCCAGCTCTGACTGGCTACAGAACGGGTAGAGGTGGGCCCAGGGTCTTTGGGAGCTGGGGGCAGGATTCTAGGTATTCCAGAAATGGGATTTGAGACCCTCACTTGAGCCCCATCTCCCTCTCAGGCACAGGAGGGGGTGTGAAACCCCAGAAGCCAGGTGAGCCCCCACCCTGTTTCTCCCCATCTCTGTCTTGCCTCCCCACTCCCTGTTATTCCTTTATTCCCCCCCCACCCCCGCTTGCCCTATTCCCCAGGGTTTGGAAATGGGCTGGCAATGGGGACCTTCCCAGGTGCTGTCGCCCAGCCAGGTAAGGTGGGAGAAGAGCTGAAGGCTGATAAGGCTGGGTGGGCACGGGGAGGGTCTTTTCCCAGGCTCCCCCAGGGCAGAACTGCTGACTCATTGGGGGAGGGTAGAAGAAGGGCACCCCTCTTTCACCCTCATCTCAGCTGGGACCCCAGAAGCCCTGTGCCTCGCCTCTCATCATGGCCTTGGAGCCACAGGAAGGGGCTGGGCCCCTGGGACTCCCTCATCCACCACATCTCTCCCCCCAGGTTTTGGAGGGGGTGTGAGACCCCAGAAGCCAGGTGAGATGCCCCATCCACGCCCACCCCTCTCTCCACCTTGCCTTCCATCTGGCTCCCTGTGAAGCCCAGCCCCCTCCCTCTTGCTTACTCCCTCTGGCTTTGTCTCCCCAGTATATGGAAATGGACTGGGAGCCAGTTCCTTCCCAGGGCTGGGAGCCCAGCCAGGTGAGGACACCTGGAGCCTGAGCCTGGGGAGGGAAAAGCGGGAGGAGGTGTAGAGTTGGAACAAGGATGAAGTAGGGGAGAAAGTTGGGGGTGGGGCCGTGGGGAGGTTGGGAAGCCTCTTGGTCTCTCCCCAGGCCTGGGAGGGGGAATGGATCCTCAGAAGCCAGGTGAGGGGAGAGCAGCCCTCTCTCCTTGTCCCCCCCTTGGGCACGTGTTACCCCCCTAAGGGACTCCTCTCTTCATTGGGCTGCTGCTATCATTTCTACGGCCTGAGCGTGGTCTCAGAACGGTCTTCCCGATTTCCAAGCCCTTCTCTGGGCATGCTTCCTGCAAAGAGCAGTTGAGGGACACAGAAGTCCTGGGTGAGAGCGGCACAGGTCAGGGGAGCCCCCCAGAGCAGCCACACTGGCCCAGCTCCAGCCCCGCCCTCCCTCTCTCCACAGGCCCTGTGGCTCAGAATGGTGGCCAGGCACCAGGTATGGGGTGGGGGCCGGGGGGCAGAGGCGTGAGTGTGGGACTTCAAGGGAGCTCCGGGCTCTCTCATCTGGTCCCTGACCCTTTCTCAGGAGTTGGAGGGGGCGTGAAACCTCAAAAGCCAGGTGCACTGCCTGCTGTCCCTGTGTCTCTGTCCTCTTCCGCCTGGCCTTTGGGCCTCCCCTTACTCCCTCTTGCTGTCCTCCCAGGACTCGGCAATGGGAATGGGATGGGACTCGGAGCCCAGCCAGGTAAGGGCATCTGGGCCAAGCTGGGGTTCTGGGGAGGAGCTAGGGAGGTCAGTGACTAGAGGGCAGAAAACTGACTCCTCGGAGGAGAACAGGATGGGATGACGTCCACATGTGGCTCCATGGCTCTGGGTGTTGCCCTAGTCCCTAACTCTCCTTCCCCGAGCCCACTCCTCACACTGCTTTTCCTCTCCAGGCTGCAGCTGGCAATCGCCAGGGGCCTGGCCAGGCTGGGGCAGCTTGGGGCAGGGGCACAAGGCTGGAGCGGTCAAGGTCCCGGCCATGCCTTGAGTGCAAGCACAGGGTCTCTTAGGGGCTCCTTCATTCCACCAGCGTTCAAGTTGCCTTTCCTGGGCCAGCCAGCATGCCCAGTCCTGAGGGGCTTTAACCTTGCAAAGGCCCGCACCCTTCGGGTTTTAAGCCAGAGAGAGCCACCCTTGGCTCCAGGGCTGGGTGGGAGGACTGAAGGAGACTGGGCTCGGAAGCATGGTGGCAGGAGGTGTGGGCCAGAGAGCAGCTGCGGGGACAGGTCTGAGGGGTGGGTCCCTTGCAGCCCGCCTTCCCAGCCCCTCTCCCGTCACAGGCTCCATGGCCCCCTCCCTGACTCTGGTAGCCAGGCTGAACTGAGGAATGTGTGAGGGGAGGGGAGGGAATCCGTGCAGCAGGGTGGGGGAACCCAGGGGCCTGTTTCAGCACCACCCCGCTTTTCCATGTCACCCCTCCCCCCAGCAGATGTCACAGCTCATAATCGCTTTGGACCAGGGGTAGCAAGGGGATGGGGTTGAAGCTGGGACCCAGGGCTGGGCTTCTGGGTCCCTCACCTGCTAGTCTCTCCCCCAGGCTTTGGAGGGGGCAGAAAACCCCAGAAGCCAGGTGAGCCCTGTTCTTTGTCTCCCTGTCAGTATCTCTTTGTCTGTGCTCCCAAGCCCCAGATCCCCCGTATTCCCTCTTGCTCTGTCTCCCCAGGATTCGGGAATGGGAACGGGCTGGGAGGTGGCACCTTCCGGGGAGTAGGAGCCCAACCAGGTGAGGCTCTGAGGCTCTAGGAGCGTAGGGGTCACTGGGGGTGCCCAGGCCTAGTTAGGACTGAGGGAGCAGGAGGGCCTGCGGGGGGAACACACAGACAGCCTCCTGGCCTTCCCTCTACCTGGGAGCCACGTGAGACCCACTGTCCACCTATGCCTCTCCCTCCTGGTGTGAGCAACACTGGTTCAGCAGCCCACCAGGGGCTGGCCAGGTGGGAGACAGGCCCCCCCTGGACGTTGGGGCGCGCTGGGACAGGTGGACAGGAAGGGAGTGTGAGCACAAGTGGGGAGCCGGGAGCATCTAGGGAAGGGGTGGCGGAGGCCATCGGTGGGTGCTTGAGCTGCGGCCTCTAAGAGAGACTGGAGAGGGCAGCGGCTCTGGAAACAGCTCAGAGGCCAAGGTGGCAGGAGCAAGAAAGGAGCTGGTGCTTGGGGAGGCGGAGCCGGATCACCCAGTCTGCTGGTCTCCCCCACTGGCTGACGCGTGTGGCGGCAGTGACAGCCGTCCAGGAGGGACCCAGGCAGTGGGGATGATGTTCAGGTTTCCCAGGGAGTTGGGCCCCAGGGGGAGAGTAGGGGCTCCACTGGGTGGGGGTGGCCGTCGTCAGATTCCAGGGGGAACCTCAGAGAGAGGCTGGCCCCAGAGCCCCTCTTGCCTTCCAGCAGGTCCTGCAACTCAAAACGGCTACAGACCAGGTAGGCACTTTCTAGGGCTCTGAGGACACCTGGAGATGGGGACCAGGCTCTCATCTGCTCCCTGTCTCCACCAGGCTTTGGAGGGGGTATGAAGCCCCAGAAACCAGGTGAGCCTCACCCCTGCCTATCCCTCTCCACCACCAAACCCTAAGCTCCCCTCTCCCATTCACACAGCCCCCTCTGTCCCCCAGGACTCGGGGATGGCAACGGCTTGGGAGCCCAGCCAGGTGAGACTGCTGGGGTCTGGGGGTCAGCATCTGGGCACCCTCTCCCACCTCCCTCCAGGCCTGGCAGGGGCAGGATTGGTAAATAATGGGGGGGGGGGTTGCTGAGCATAAGCTTCCAGGATTCCAGCTTTCGGGCTTGGCTCTGAAGGGAGCACCTTCACCTCTACGTCAGCTTGACCCCACGTCTCCCCTCACCCTTCCTCTTCCCACAGGCCTAGTGACCCAGAATGGATACGGAGCAGGTAGAAGCAGGGTGGGGAGGACCCTGGGGAGGCCTTGAGATGGGGCTTCTGGGCCCTTCACCTGCTCCCATGTCTTCTCCAGGCTTTGGGGAGGCCATGAAGCCCCAGAAACCAGGTGAGTCTGGCCCAGTCTTGTCTGTGTCCATGGGCCCCCTGAAGCCAGAGCACCCCCTCCTCAGGCTCCTTTTCGCTCTCCAGGATCTGGGACCCGCTGGGAGGCATGGCTATCTCAGGGGCCTGGGCCCAGGCTTCTCTCAGGGAGAGAGGAAAGCGGAGGGCTGGCTTCCACGTGGTGGGGAGATGGGAGCTTAGCCTGTGGCCCAGGAGGCCTGGGGAGGGAGGAGGTGACCTCTCCCTTGTACCACAGCCTCTTTGCCCCACACTCCCATGCTGAGGGCTCTGTCCTGCCTCCTCCTGAACCCCTCCAAAACCAGCCCTTCCTGTCCACCCCCGTTTGTCCTCCCCTGGATATGGTAACAGAAATGGACTAGGAGGGGTGCCTGGGTGGCTCAGTGGGTTAAGCCTCTGCCTTTGGCTCAGGTCATGATCTCAGGGTCCTGGGATGGAGCCCACATCGCATCAGGCTCTCTGCTCAGCAGGGAGCCTGCTTCCCTCTCTCTCTGCCTACTTGTGATCTCTGTCTGTCAAATGAATGGAATCTTTAAAAAAAGAAAAAAAAAAAAAAAAAAGGACCAGGAACCCAGCCGTGACAGGTCCCGAGGAGTTGGGAGAAACTGGGGGCACAGGGGACCCTGAGGAGAGGTCTGGTGGGTGGACATCAGCCTCCACCTCCCCAAGCCTGGGGTGGAGGTAAAACCCAGAAGCCAGGTGAACCTCACCCCTGCCTGTCTCTCTCCACCTCCCCCAAAGCCCGAGCTTTCCTGCCCCCATTCACACCCCTATCTATCTGTCCCTCCCAGGATTCAGGAATGGCAATGGGCTGGGAGGCCAGCCAGGTGAGACTGGTGGGGTCTGGGGGGTACAAGTCTGGGTGTCCTCTCCTGCTTCCCTGGCGGCCTTGCAGGAGGACGGGTTAGCCTAGGGCAGCTGGGCCTCCAGGACTCCCAGTTCTGGCTGGGCTTTGAAGGGGGACCACTGGCGGTTCCCCCACCTTAGCCAGCCCCAACCCCCTGCTCATCCCTCCTCCCCGCACGGGCCCTCCAGCTCCCAGAGGCTGCAGAGCAGGTACTGAGGGGAGAAGAGAGGAGGGCCTGGCGGGGAGCACTGGTCCTCACCCAGGCCCTGTTGGGGGCGGGGGTTCCTGCCAGACTAGGTGAGGGCGGGGCTGGCGATTACATGGAAGTGGCAGGAGGCCCAGGAGGCCTGGGTTTCCAGCTCCCCCCGACCCACCCCGGCCCCCCGTACCTGAGCCTCTCCATCTCCACAGGCCCTGAGGTTCCTGTGGGCTACGGACCAGGTAGGGAAGCAGGCGCTGGGGCCAGACCCCGGGGTTCTGGAGAGGCCCAGAGAAGGGGAGTAGGTCAATAACCTGTTCCCATCTCTTCTTCAGGCATCGGTGAGGGCGGGAAGCTGCAGAAGCTAGGTAAGGCTTTCCTCCCTGTGAGTCCTGCGAGACGGGGACTTCTAATACGGTAGAACTATTTGGTCTCCCAGTCCTGGCACAGAGCCCCTCAAAGCCTAGGAATTTCCTAAGTGCGGAGACCGGTAGAGTGTCTTTTGTTATGTTAATGGTGACTTTTGGAGAGCCCCGTGTCATCTAAGGTTGGGGCTGCTTGCTAGGGGCACCCAACTTGGGATTGGAGGGTTGGAACTTTCAGTCCCTCCCTTTGACCTCTGGAGATGGAAAGGGTCTTCAGCCACACCTGTGTGAGGGAGCCTCCTGAAACCCCAAAAGGGCCAGTCAGGGAGAGCTTCTGGGGTGGCGGGTGACCCCTTGGAGGCCCGGGGAGTGCAGAGGCCCCTCCACCCTTCCCACACGCCTGGCCTCCGTATCCTCCATCTGCTGGCCTTTATAAAGAGCCTGGATTCTAGTAAGGAAACTTTTCCTGAGTTCTGTGAGCTGTTCCAGCGAATCGGTCCCACGCAAGGAGCTGGGTTCCTAGCCAGAGGGTCAGACGTACCGCTGGCAACCTGGGCTGAGGGTGCTTGAAATGAGGGGGTGGGGGACTGAGCCCTTCACCTGTGGGGTCTGAGGCTGTCTGCAGGTGGCTGGTGTCAGGGTTGAGGCATGTTGTCAGACACCCAGCTGGTGTTGGGAGAATTGCTTGGTGCTGTGGGGAAGTTCCAGAATTGGGATCAGCTTCAGAATCAGGCCCCCACTGCTCTCTAACCCCAGAAACTGTCTATTCCTCTCACTGCTTTCCCCCTTCCCAATCCACACACCCTGTCTCCCAGTTTACAGGAATGGGCTGGGAGCCGGAGTCTTCCCAGGCCAAGGGGCCCAGCCAGGTGAGGGAGGAAGTGGGGCGGTGGGGGGGCGGTGGGCAGGGCCCCAGGGGGCGCAGAGTTGGGTCCTGGGAAGAGAAGGGGCAGGGTGGCATCCAGCTAGCACTCAGCCTGTTTCTGTCTCTCCCCAGCCCTGGGAAGGGGCATGAGCCCTCTAAAGTCAGGTGAGCCCATTCCCGCCCCTCCCCCACCTTGCCCTGCGGTTGTTGCCGCTGCCCGAGCCCTCACACCTGCTTTTCTCCCCAGGCTTTACCCCGGGACTGCAGCTCCCAGCAGGTGAGTGTGGCCCCGGCTTCAGAAGGGGGGGGACTGGGCTCTTTCTTGGGAGCTTGAGGTCTGAAGTCTGAGGGGTCCTGTCTCTCCTGCAGCTCTGGGAGGGGGTATGAAACCTCAAAGGCCAGGCAAGTGAGAGACGCCCCCCCCACCCCGTCTCTATCCTGCACCTCCACCTGCCTCCTTCCAGAACCCTCCCCGCTAAATTACTACCCCTCACATCCCTGCTTTTTCTCTCCAGGATATGGCAACGGAAATGGGGTGGGGGCCCAGCCAGGTGAGGCTCCTGGGGCAGGGCTGGGGGTGAAGGGAGATGCACCAGGAGAAAGGCAGGAGGGATGTTGCTGGAACACAGAGGGTCTAGGTGGGCCCAGAGCAGGAGCCATGTTAGGTGGCTGGGTCCCCTTGTACCCCAGGTACCACGGGAGTGGGGCTTTCTCTGGCCTAGCCATGGCCTCCCTCGGAAGCTGTGTCTGCCCTAGAAGTCATTATGGGCTGGTGGCTTGGCCAGGCTGAGGCCGGGAGACTGGCCTGGGGCAGGTGCTAGCCTGGGTTCACTGCCCTCCCCCTTCCTTCCCCATCTAGGTCCCTGCCATGGGAGGGTCCCTCCACTGCTTCTCCCCAGGCCTCCCACTTCAGGGGTCCCTTCTGCTAAAGAGGGCGGCGGCTGGGGCCCCAAATCCCAGCCCTCTCCCCCAGGGCAGAATGGCAATTTCCCAGGTCAGTGTGGAGTAGGGGGCCGGGGATGGGGCGCCAGGGGATCCCTGGTCCCAGGAGGGGCTGGTCTAGCTGGGCCCCTACAGCGGCTGCTCCCGCCCAGGGGCAGGCTGCAGCAGTCCCAGCCCCCCCCCCTCCCGCCCTAAGCTCACTCCCGTGGCTTTCCTCCTAGCACCGACTCCAGCCATCCAGTGGGGGCTGAAACCTCAGAAAGCAGGTGTGACTCTGTCTGCCCCTGTCCCTAGCCCAGATCAGGGTCACTCCTCCGTCATCCTTGGGCCCCAGTCTGCCGCAGCTGTCCAGGCTCCTAAGGCCAGGAAGTCCCTCCCTGAGTCTACCCGGAGTCTCTCTTGCTGCTTTCTAAGCCCATTTCTTCTGGTTCTGTTCCCTGTCGATAGGGAGTATCCCTTCTTCCTCCTCAGAGCCCTTAAGGTCCATATTTGGCCCCCAAGGAGTTAATGGCCCCATTCTCCTCACAGGGTACCAGCCCCTGAATGGCTATGGACTGGGAACAGAACTGGGTGAGGAGGCACTTCCCCTTCCCTCCTCTCCTGGCCCCTAGCTCAGGAAGAGGGGAGTCAGAGGCTTTATCTCTCTCTGACTCCTCCATCTCCGCCCCCATTTGCTTTCTCTTAGGCTTTGGTGGTGGCCTCAAGCCTCAGAAAGTTGGTGAGCCCCCTGGGCCCCCAAGGGTACAAGCTGGTATTTTCCCTGCGGCAAGCCCTCTTGTCCTTGTGTCTTGCCCTGGCTGGCTCTCTCCTTGAACCAGCACACATCCCGTCTGCAGCAGGCCATAATGCCGGCCAGAGACAAGCCAGAGACAGGACAGAGACAGGAGTCTGCTGAGGGTCAAGTGCACACTGAGGTACAGTCTTGGGTGCAAAGGGAAGCTGGCCAGAGGGAGGCCAGGAGAGGCTTCCAGAAGGTGGAACAACAGAGTTTGCACAGGGTTGGTTGGCTGAGCATGGGGACCGTGTGTGTGAGGCCCTCTCTGGCTTGCCTCTGAGTCAGTCTCTGTCTATCTGCTGCCTCCTGTCTCTCCACGAGCTGGTCACCCTGAGCCCCACCCCCACCCCCCCACTCACCCAGCCTTTCTCCCACTGCTGTCTTGCAGGTTTTGCTTATGGGAATGGTCTGGGAGCTGGGGTCTTCCCTGAGGCCCGCCCGCAGCCAGGTGCCTGGGAGTGCTGGGGTGGGCTGGGGGGCCCTGGACTGAAGGGTTCCTCCTGTCTCTGACCTTCTCCTCCCTCCTCCAGACTTTCCCGGGGTCAATGGCTTTAGGAATGGTGAGTCAGGGACAGAGGACAGAGTGCAGGGGCTGGGGGCCGGGGAGGGACATCCTGGGGCTGGGCAGGAATCACTTGGATTTCTTGCAGGGTATGGGGAGGAAGCACCAGTGTACCCCAAAGCAGTAGTTCCAGGCTCTGAAGGAAATGGTAGGAAATGAGTGTTTAGGGGGTGAACCCTGGTAAGGGATGCGGGGACCAAGCCAAGTGAGCAGGGACCTGAAACCCCAGGGGGCTTGTGGGTTCCTGGATGTCTGGCGCTGGTGGGCAGGGGTGCCCACAGTAGCTCTCCTTCTGCAGGTCAGGCCAGGGCCCTAAGGGGCTCTTCTTGGCCCTCCGTGCAGCCTTGGGGGCTTGCCTTGAAGCCCGGATATGGGCCTGGAGGCACATACGCAGGGGTCAGGAGCCAGCCAGGTAAGGGGGGATGTGGACGAGCATCGTGCGGTTGTCAGGGCTGGCTGTAGGGAGCTGGGTCTTGGGCCAAGACGCACCCAGAGCTCTGCAGAGAAGGCGTGGGACAGGGACAAGAGGGATTAGGCAGGAATGGATGGGGTTTGAGGAGACGGTTGGAGCTGGGGACCCTGAGCGTGAGCTTGGACACGAGACCAAGATGGGGAAGTGACAGACACCATGTGAGGGCCACTGGGGACTCAGTGCTCCCACCTTCTGTCCCTTCCCCCAGCGACCTATGGACAGCTAAGGCCAGAGCTGGGCCCTGGACTCTTTGGTGAGTGGCAGTTTCCCAGGGCCCGGGGTGAAGCTGGGGAGGGCAGGGGGCGCTCTAAAGTTCCCTGGTGACCTGGAGCCCTGGCTGATCTGTGCCTTAGGCAGCCCTCCAGTGAAGAGAGACAGCAGTGGCCCACTGGGAAATGGCTATGGAGGTGAGAGGGGTCACGGTGGCCCAGTCCCCCACTCGCCCTATCCACCACGGTTGCCCCTCTCCAGGCTGCACTGGGGGTGTCCCAGCCCTTGGGAGGGAGAGGACACACTCAGGTCACCTGCAGGTATCTGCTGAGTGATCTTAGAGACCAGAGGTGGGAGAGGGTGCAGGTCCCCTGGGAGGTGAGGAGGGGTCCAGACCTCACCAGGGCCCTGCCTTTTCCTAGGCCACTGTCCTCTTGGGAAATGCTGAACACTGAGGCCCTTTCACTGCCCACCCTGAGAGCCTCTCTAACCACAGCCGTGTGTTGGGCGAGGACGGCCAGATCCTGGGGCTTGGCTTCTGGCTGAGGGTCTCCTTCGGGCTAAGAGTATTAATAAAGGTGGCATGCTACCCTGTTGGCCTCTGTGTACTGTGCCGGGGCCGGGGTGGGGGCGTTGCTGGTTGGTGTGGGGGCAGTCCAGGCCACCACCTCATTCATCCGTTCCACAAATGGGACAGCACTTTGTCACAGTGTCGTGGGGGACACATCCAAGTTAGGGAGGGGACTGGTGCATTCTTTATGTCTACATTTATAACCAGCCTATTAGTTAGTTATTCAAGTAAAAATCTTTCTCTCTTAAGCCTTCCACTTGCTTCCCAATGTTATTGCACTGATCAATTTTATAATTTGATGTAAAACTCACTTTTACATTCTCTGAATCACGTTCAGTTAGATTATGGGTTTGAGGGGCACCTGGGTGGCTCAGTTGGTTAAAACCTCTGCCTTCAGCTCAGGTCATGATCCCCGGGTCCTGGGATTGAGCCTGCTCAGCAGGGAGCCTGCTTCCTTTCTCTCTACCTGCCTCTGCCTACTTGTGACTTCTGTCTGTCAAATAAATAAAATCTTAAAAAAAAAATTATGAGTTTGATGGATCTGACTCCCCCCTGAATATTTAGCGTGCCTTACAAACCTGACTAGCTCAATTCCCTTAGACACTTCAATTACACGCAGAATCTCCTTCATCTGCAAATCCCACCAGTAACTTCTTCCTAAGCACTTAAGGGGCTCTTGGAAATGAATAAATCAGAACTTTAATATCTCAGATTACTGAACGCTTTCAAACGTCTTGAAAAGCCAGTTACTAATCCAGTATCCATATTAGTGCTAATGGATTGCTGCTTTTTCTTATCCTCTGATTACAAATTTGCTTGCCCAGAAATGCAGAAGCAAAGGACTCTTTTTACCTGGGTCCAGAACTGAAGTTGTACAATTGGCGATTGACCTACCACTCTGAACTTTTCCTCAGAGACAGGCCAGTCCCACTCAGCCACTCAACCGACTGAGCCACCCAGGCGCCCGGTGGACTCTGCCTTTTTCACAGAACTTGGTTAAGCCTCTGCCTTTGACTCACGTCATGATCTAAAGGTCCTGGGACCCAGTTCCTGCTTAGCCAGGAGTCTGCTTCTCTCTCCTTGCTCCTCTCTCTCCAACGATGCATACGAGCTCTCTCTCCCTCAGATAAATAAAATCTCTAAAAAATATATCCAAATAGTCTCATCTTCTTCTGCCCCAAGGTGGTAGAATAAATCACATCTTTTTACTGGTCTTAGAAAGAAAACCAGAAGACAAAAATGGAGCAACTTAGGCCAAGTCCCCCAATGGGAGGCTTAACACCTAACTTAATTGCAGTTCCTACCTCCCCCAGAAAGTCTCAACCTGTCAGTCAGTGATTTTCTGGTCAGCACCAATGAGTTAATGTCCCATGGGCCCTCACTATCCACCCCCACCCAAAGGAAGATGAGGTAATCCACCCAAGACAGGCCCCCCCCAGCAAGAGAAGGTGACTTTGCCTGGAACAATCTTTTTTGCTATAACTTCCTTGCCCCCTCTCCCTCCTTCCTATAAAAACCTTCCATGCTACACAATTCCTGACAGCTCCCTTCTATTTGGTGGATCAGATGCTGTCCGATTCTTGAATCACTGAAAGTTGATTAAATCTGCAAATTTACTCTATTGAATCTTTGTTAACACTGGAGAACAGGATTGTTCTCCAATCTCTGGGCATGGGGCCATCCAGCAGACTGTCTCAGTGAGGGCAATGGGTGATAGGCTTCCTAACCCACCTAGAAATGTTCTGTTATTTTAATAAAAGTTTCTATATTCCGATTTTATTTTATTTTTTTAAAAGATTTTATTTATTTATTTGATAGAGAAATCACAAGCAGGCAGAGCAGTAAGCAGAGAGGGGGAAGCAGGCTCCACGCTGAGCAGAGAGCCCGATGCGGGGCTCAATCCCAGGACCCTGGGATCATGACCCGAGCTGAAAGCAGAGGCTTAATGCACTGAGCCGCCCAGGTGCCCCTATGTTCTGATTTCTTTCTTTTTTTTTTTTTTTTAAAGATTTTATTTATTTATTTGACAGACAGAGATCACAAGTAGACAGGCAGGCCAGAGAGAGAGAGGGAAGCAGGCTCCCTGCTGAGCAGAGAGCCCGATGTGGGACTCGATCCCAGGACCCTGAGATCATGACCTGAGCCGAAGGCAGTGGCTTAACCCACTGAGCCACCCAGGCACCCCGCTATGTTCTGATTTTTTTTTTTTTAAAGATTTTATTTATTTATTTGACAGATGGAGATCACAAGTAGGCAGAGAAGCAGGCAGAGAGAGAGGAGGAAGCAGGCTCCCTGCTGAGCAGAGAGCCGGATGCAGGGCTCGATCCCAGGACCCTGAGATCATGACCTGAGCCGAAGGCAGAGGCCCTAACCCACCGAGCCACCCAGGCGCCCTGCTATGTTCTGATTTTAAAGAGAGCGATCATTCTCTCCTTTTTCCCAATTGTCACCCATCTGTCATTTATACCCTTTGTTAAGGATAAGGTAAATGCTCCATGTCATCAAATTCTGGTTTTGAATGATCTTTTCTTAAAGATAATTGAATGGGAATCTGCATAGGTCTTTTTATTATTATTATTATTTTTTAAAAGATTTTGTTTATTTATTTGACAGAGAAAGACACAGGCTTCCAGCTGATTAGGGAGCCCGATGCGGAATTGATCCCAGGACTCTGGGATCGTGACCCAAGCTGAACGCAGGCACTTAACGACTGAGCCACCCTGGCACCCCTCTGTATAGGTCTTTTTTTTTTTTTTTTTTTTTTAAGATTTTATTTGTCAGAGAGAGTGAGCACAGGCAGAGTCGCAGGCAGAGGCAGAGGGAGAAGCAGGCTCCCTGCTGAGCAAGGAGCCCGATGTGGGACTCGATCCCAGGACGCTGGGATCTTGACCTGAGCCGAAGGCAGCCGCTTAACCAACTGATCCACCCAGGCGTCCCCTTCTGCATAGGTCTTGACCCACTCCCAGGTGTCTCATTCCAGAGTCTCCCAAGGGCAAACCTCCTTTGTCGGCGCGCGGCTTCTGCGGCTGCACCCTAAGGCCAGGTGGGGGCGCCAAATGCACATGTGCAGCGCCCTGCCGCTGGGCTGGTGGGAGGTGTGGCCTGTGGGACTGCGGGGCGCCGTGATTGGTTGGGACTCTCACAGAGAGCGCTGCCGCCTCTGATTGGCCGCCCGGAGTAGCTCGTGCCCGCCGGCGAGACCCACGCGAAGGCGGCCTGCGCGCCGGCCGGTGATTGGCTGGGTCGGTCCCTGCGCGCGCGCGGCGGTCCGTCGGGAGGACCGTCAAGGCCGGAGGCGGGCGCTGGGCCCTGGCGCAGGCAGCGGCGGCCAAGCTGGCGGCGCGGCTCCCCGGCTCCCGCTCGAACCCGCGGCTCGTCCGCGCCCGCGCCGACTCGCGGCTGGGCCGGGCCCGCGCGTCGTTGTCGCTGACCCCGCCGCCCGCGCCGTCCCTGCCGCACCCGCCGCTGCCCGGCCTGCCGCCCGGCCTGAGCCCCGCGCCGCCGCCCTTGGCGCTCGCCCTGGCGGAGCTGCCGCCTCTGCCCGCGCTTCCGCTGCGGCCCGAGCCCCTCGCGCCCTGGGGCCCCGGCGCCCACCTGGCGCTGCCGGAGCTGCCGCCCGAGGCCTGCGTGCCCGCGCCGCCTGCCGCCGCGCTCGCGCTGCAGGACCTGCCGCGCCTGCCCGCGCCCGCGCCGCCGCCCGCGCACCTGCCGCTGCCGCCGCTGCCCGAGGCCGCCGTCGCCGCCACGCCCGGGCCGGTGGGCGCGCGCGGCCGCCCCCCGCTCGTCGCCGAGCCGCCCCCAGCCGCTGCCGCCGCTGCCCGCGCGGCCCGCGCCCTCCAGCCTGCTGGCGCCGCCCGCGCCCCCCGCCCCCTGGTTGCTGCCCGCCTTCCCCCCGCCGCTGCCGCCGCCCCCGCCGCCGCACCTCTTCCTGTCGCCTCCCTGCTGACGGCGCGGCCCTCCCGAGACCGTGGACCCCGAGGGGCTGCGGGCGGGTTAGTAACCAGCCCCGCCTGGGACTGCCGGGCCGGGCGCCCTGACCACCTTCCCCACACCGACGGCTTCAGAAAGCCTGGGTCAGAGCCTGGACTGCGCAAGAGGGAGGGAGTGTCCGGGGAGCCGCCCAGCTTTGGGGTGGAAGCACCAAGTCTAAAAATACATTCGTTTTAAAGAATAGGGTCTTTATTCCATTTTCCCCGCCCGCCCTACAGCAAGCCTCCCGCCTGGTTATTTGAGACCGTAACTCATCCCGTGTGCTGATAAGTGCGCGGCTTATCAGAGCCTTCTGGACAGGGACGGGGGTTGTGGGGGCGGGGGCGCCCACCGCACTTGGCTTGAGGAAATGAAAACAAGAGTTTGAAATGCCCTGACCGGGTCCGCAAAATATCTCATTTTCCCCTCTAAAACGAAGGGTTTGGGTCCCATCACAAGGCCCTGCCCTACTCTGCGTGTATGACTTCTGGAAACAATTCGGGAGTCAGGCTGTGAACTGAAATAGAACCAAAGGTTCTTCCTGGGTGCCCCGGAAGAGCAGTGGTGCTGATGGCTAACCGATACTGGGCCCAGGAGCAGCAGCATCACATGCAAGGACCAGGTCGTCCCCACCAGGGACAGGAACGCTTCCAAGGTGAGTCATGAAAGGAAGCTAATATTCTCCCCCCACCTTTGCTTGCCCTCTCCTTCATCCCTACCCTGCCAGGTTCTCCCCAGCAGCGCACAACCCCGAATAAAAGTTCCCTTTGTTACTCAGGTGGCTTGGTCTCAGGTAACCAGGCAGATGTCCTATCTCAATGGGTCTTCTACAGGTCCGGAGTGGTATCGGGAAGCCAACTTGACCTTGGGCGACCTCTGAGAGCTGGGGATCCACCAGCAAGAAAGGCAGTATATGAATTTCCTGGGACTGCTGGAGCAAATCACCACAAACTGGGCCACTTAAAATAAAAAGAATCTGTTCTTTCAAGGTTCTGGAAACCAGAGGTCCAAAATCAAGGCATTTAGGGCTGTCCTCCTCCCAAGGCTCTTGGGGAGGATCCTCTCTTGCCTCTCGGAGCTCTTGGTGACCCTGGCGTTCCTTGGTTTGCAGCCTTGTCCCTCCAGCCTTGGGCTCCAGCTTCACCCCGCCTTACCCTGTGTCTGTGTCTCAAATCTTCCTGTTTTTTTCTTTTGACACCCGTCATTGGATGTAGGGCCCACCCTGAATCCAGAATGATCTCATCTTGAGGTTTTAAATTTATCTTAATTACAGCTGCAAAGACTGTTTTCAAATAAGGCCATGCTCACAGGTACCAGGGCTTAAGGCCTGGCCTGTGGTGAGGGCTGCCATGCAATCCATACGGGCAGTGTTCTCCCCCTGGGGAGGGGGGGCTGGCCCACCTCCAGAGCTGTCTTCCCAGCTTCCCCGAACCCTGTGTTTGACACCTTGTCTCTTGCTGACCTGGAGCCCTGGGTGCCCTTGCAGTTCTTCAGCAGGAGCCCAAGCCACTAAGTACCTTAATGACTCCCTTTCCCCTTTCTTGAATTATGGCCGAGTTCCCATTCCTGCTGGCTTGCTTCCTCCACGGACATCCCGCTGCTCTCCTCTCTCCGCTAAGAATCACACTCTGCAGGAAGGACAAGACTGAAGGCATGCTCTGAAAGTTCACAGCCTTGAGGTGAAGGGTGACCCCCACTCAGAACCCCAGATGGGTAACTGCTGCCACAGAGAAACCTCAGTGAGGGGAAGCCCGTGCTCGGTTAGAGCCTCAGTTACCGCAGATAATAGAGTTAACTGTTGCCAGATCTACGGAGTCTGGCCAGAGTGAAAAGGCCATGATGCTGTTATCAAAAGACTCTTGTGACAAGTCAGGCCCTACAGTGATCCCCCCCAAGGTGCGTGGGGTGCTCCCTGCCTGGGCAGATTCTTGTAGCGCCCCTGGGGGTAGGTAAGGCCGACTTCTCCCTTCCCTCATTTTGCAGCAGGGAAGCAGCTGAGGTTACTGCACTGGTGACTTACCCAGCAAGGTCTGACCCATCCTCCCTGAGGCTGCCCACAGCAGGTGGACGCAGAGCCAGTGAAGGGGCGGCGGGGTGGGGGTGGGGGGTCTGGGAGGGGGTCCTCCCGGTGTGATCAGATCCAGAGGCAGTCTGCCTCTGGAGCACTGCCGGGTGCCTGGAGGAGCGAGGGGGAAGGAGCGAACACTGGCTGGGGAGGAATGGGGCAGGATGTGGGGGGGCAGGGGGGCGTTGTGGGCAAAGAGGCACTGGGACCCCAGGTCACCCTCCAGCACTGGGCTCAGGGCCTTGAGGTCATGGTCTGGGGCTGCTTCAGGCTTGTCCTGTTTCTCAAAGGACCTGTGGGCAAGTTCCCATTGCACTCTGAGCTTGTTTCATTGTCTGGAAAATGGGAGTAGAGAGCTGTCCTGGGACTCCAGGGTTTCATCTGCACCTTTTGGTTCAGGGGCCCGGGGAATCTGGCTTTTCTACCCATAAAGTCTGGGGCTTTGGGCACCTCCCTGAGGCGGAGGCTGGTGTTCCCTTGGGGTTGTGCAGTCCCCCAGCCCACCCCATACTCTTCTTGGCACCATGGTGGCTCTCGGACCTTCAGTTCCCCTCCTTTGTCTTTGGGCCACACTTTTCTCTAAAAGCGTGCTAGCTGTTGGGATTGGAGTTAACCCGCTTCCGCCCTTCCCCTGCCTAAGCCCAGCGCGGCTGCTTCCGCCCACCTGAGTGGCCCCACCCCACTGTCCTCCCACAGAACAAAGATCTGGTCCAGTTGTGCTACTCCCCGAAGCAGTGAGTGGAGTGAGGCCGCCCTCCCTTCCCCCGTGCCTCAGTTTCCCTCCACAGTCGTGTGTTGGGGCAGGTTTCCCTCCCCCATCTCTTTCCGGGCGGAAGCGGAGACGGTGGGGGTGGGGAGTCCAGCGGACACGGAGGTGGTAACCGCGCAGAGGGAGTCCTCACCTCCATATCAATGGCATTCCAGCCCCACTGACAGTCCCTGCTGGGCCCCAACTTTAACCCTTTGGTTCCCGGATCCCACGCAGTCCAGGTGGCCCTGGGACCCAAGAGACGGCCTAAGGAGGGCTGAGGGTGGGAAGACTCTCCCGCCTGGGCGCCCTGGGAATCCACCCTCGGCCACTTAGCCCTCCTGCTCGCGGTTCCTCTGACCAGCCCTGCTGACCTCTCTTTGTTCTCCCACAGCCTATCCCACGTTCACCATCTCCGAAAGCTTTGGCTGGGGGGTCTGTGTCTTCAGCCTCTGAGCACCCCCTCCCATGTGGCTGGCCCACCCCTGGTAGTGTGCACGTCTTCTCTGCTGGACTGTTGACCTGTTGAGCCCAGAGGAATTTGGATCTAGAACACTGAGGGTCCTGGGTGCTGTCCCCGGGGGCAGGACGCTTGGCCAGGATGTGTGTGTGCAGCACGCACGGGGCCCGGCACAATGCTGGGGGTTTAGAGCTGCGGGTGGAATGGAGGGTCCTTGGCGCCAGGCCTGACTGCAGGCTCATGGGCGACCTGGGCTCGTCAGGGTGAGTTGATCTCATGAAACCCAAGGCTTTCTCTGAGCCTAGAGAGCAGAGACCCGGGGCTGGGCTGCCCAGGATGGGAGGCCCCGAGGGAGGGTTGCTGGGGCCCTCACAGACCTGGGCTTCAGGTTCGCCTCAACAACTGCTTCAACCTGTGTGTCCAGATTCCTCCAGGCCCCCAGGCTTGCCTCTGTTTGCCCTTCTCCTCAGCCGCCCCTCCCCAGCATGAAATCCAGGGCCCCAGGCGATGGATGAGCTGGGCAAACAGCTCCGAGACTCCCCAGGATCACCACGGCCTGCAGGCCCAGTCATGGCCCCCTCTGGCCCCTTTCCACTCCCCGCCGTGTCTGCCGGGCCACCGCAGTCTACCCCACAGCCCTGCTCTTGGGTGCTGGCCTCAGTCTCCCTTTCAGCAGTTCTCTCGAGCTTTTTTTGGTCGATGACCTTGTTGCAAATCTGATGAAAGTATAAACCTCTCTTCCCCAAAGTGCTAAAACCGCATTCCCAGAAGCAGTGCACACACTGAACAGGTAGAGAGGCGCCCAGTGCACACCACACCCAGGGCCCTAGAGCGCTGCCTTCAGAGCCCATGTTGGGGGCCCCAGTGGCCCTGTTACTTCCCAGGCCGACAAGGGGTGCCCCCTCATAGAGCAGAAGGTAGCAGACTCCTACCTTCTCAGGATGAGGTATGGAAGTGAGAGGCTCTTCCAAATGGGGCCCCAGCTCTGCCTTAAAGGGTCCGCCTGCCAGCCAGGAAAGTGTATGAAAGGAAGGAATTTTCATCAGCGTCTCCCACCCCCATTCTTTTTCCCTCAGTTCCTAGCACCCAGGAAGGGGCTTGAGGGAGTTCATGACCTCCCATACGAGGGGCCCATGTTTGTGGGTCATGTAAGGTTTCTCACAGGGGTATTTGACCTAAGAAGGGTAAGGACCTTGACCTTCCATGATCGGTCCCTGGTTGGTGGCAGGATTTGAATTATAGTCTGTGAGTCCCAGGTTGCCCCCCACAAGAGGAGTCACAGGCTCCAACGGGGTCTCAGGAGTGGGAGAGTCTTTCCTGGGGACAGTGAGGCAGGGTTCACCTGGGGTCACCTTCTTGGGCTCCTCCAGAGTGATCATTTACTTCTCATGGCAAAGCCTTGGGTCCTGGGGCCTCACCCCCAGCTGGGGCTTCTGTCTCTGCTACTCTTCCCCCTTCACCCGCAGACCCATGTGTGCCCCTCCCCTGCTTTCACAAGAAATTCTTTATCCCTTGGCCCCTAGAGACCTGTGGCAGCTCAGCTGGGCCCTCAGTTTCAGTGTGGGGGTGGAGACGGCACACCTGAGCTGGGGGGGGTGTTTCTAGGCCGTTGCCACGGTGATGCTACCAGAGCTGGGCTCCAGGCACCTGTCGCCCAGGGAACAGTGCGGGCGGGGCCCCTCCCTTGAGAGCCACCGGGGCCACTGGGCTGAGACTGAAGACAGATCGGGTTCCTGGGGCGGGCAGGGGGACGAGAGCGGGGTTGGGGGTGTGCGATACTGGGGGATCCGGGTGTGTTGGCAACACGGAATGAAACGCCTACAGGGAGGAGTTGCTGGGGGAAGGGGCGGCGGCGTGAACCTCTACTTCTCTTTGCTGAGCCTGCCGGAGCTCCATTCCCCGTCCTACTCCTTGCTCCCCAGCTGGCCTGTCTGTCCTTTCCCTTGTCCCTGCATTCCCACAGGCACGGAGGTTCTTTCCTTCCCCGTTCCGGTCGCAGTACCCCCTCCCAGGCTCCCCATCCCACCCCTTGCTCTGCCCGCTGCCCCTCCCCTGCCTCCACCTCAAAACCCCGCCTGCACCTGGGAGCCGGCTGAGTCCCCAGGTGACACCCACAGACTGTGCGCTGCTGCGCCTCCGGCGGGACAAGGCTCTGCTCAGCCTGCAGGTGGGTCCGGAGGGTCTTTGCAAGCTGGGTCACGGGGGCAGCGGCCAACAGGACCCTCGAGAGAACGCCGCTACTCAGCTGAGGGCTGTGAGACTGATCTGTGCGCGTCCGGGTCAGAGAGAGGTGCTTTGCAAGAGGCCCACGGATGTGAGGGACGGTCCTGGCCAAGGCCACTGACTTCCCCACGTCCTGGGCACTGAGACCCCCACCCAGTGGCAACGGACCCACCCCTGGGAGTCAACCAGACCGTCTAGGGTTAAGAAGACCTGAGCGGACAAGATGGCTTCAACTGCCCTTGAACTCCTGGGTATGACCCTGGCCGTGCTGGGCTGGCTGGGCACCCTGGTGTCGTGTGCCTTGCCCCTGTGGAAGGTGACCGCCTTCATTGGCAATAGCATCGTGGTGGCCCAGGTGGTGTGGGAGGGGCTGTGGATGTCCTGCGTGGTGCAGAGCACCGGCCAGATGCAGTGCAAGGTCTACGACTCCCTGCTGGCGCTGCCCCAGGACCTGCAGGCCGCCCGTGCCCTCTGCGTTGTTGCCCTCCTGCTGGCCCTGCTTGGGCTGCTGGTGGCCATCACAGGGGCCCAATGCACCACGTGCGTGGAGGACGAAGGCGCCAAGGCCCGCATCGTGCTCACCGCGGGGGTCCTCCTCCTCCTCTCAGGCATCCTGGTGCTCATCCCTGTCTGCTGGACCGCACACGCCGTCATCCAGGACTTCTACAACCCCCTGGTGGCCGAGGCCCTCAAGCGGGAGCTGGGGGCCTCCCTCTACCTGGGTTGGGCCGCTGCTGCCCTGCTCATGCTTGGGGGGGGGCCTCCTCTGCTGCACGTGCCCTCCACCCCAGATCGAGCGGCCAAGAGGACCAAGGCTGGGTTACTCCATCCCCTCCCGCTCAGGGGCATCTGGACTGGACAAGAGGGACTATGTATGACGTGGAAAGTGTCCCTGGAAACCCGCAGCTCAGAGCCTTGACCTTGCCCCCACTGCCAACACCACCCGAGGCAAAACCCCTTTCCCAGAAGCTCCAATCAGGGCTGGCTATGGAGTGGGGTCCCTACAGGTCCTTCTCCTACCTTGCCCTCCAGGCAGAGCCAGAGCTAATGGGGTGTGCCCGCCTGCCCCCCCAACCCCCCGCTCCGCTCCCCCTGGACGAACTGCTCACTTCTTTGGTCCACAGCTTAGGCTGGTCATCCTCTTCCTCTGAGGCTACCCCTGGCCTAGGAATTTGGGCTTCACCCAAAGGGCAGAAGGTCCTTGGCTCTAAAATAAGGAGGGGATCCCTGCCTGGGGTGGGTCCTCCCCAGCCTGGCCACCACCTGAATCCAGAGGTCCAGGCCAGGAGCCCCAGCCAATCACCCCACCCTCTATGCCCACCTGCCAGTGGGGGAATAAACAAGAGAATTTGTACCTTGGCTCTTCCGGTCTGTGGTTGGGTGGGGAAGACCAGGTGGCCTTCCAGGGGGCTGTCAGCCCACGGCTTGTGCAGTGGAGACCCTCCCTTCCCCTGTGAGGCACAGAGGCACAAGGTTAAGATGAGCCCCTTGTGTTGTCCTCCTCCCCTGCCAGGTTGGCACCCAGCAGTCCCGCAGCAGCACCCAAGGCAAAGAACAAAATAAGACACGCTTTATTTAGCAAAAACTGGTGAGTGTGTTGGCGGGGCGGCGTGGCAGAAGTGTGCAGGGCTGAAGGTGAGAGGATCGGGGTGGCGGGGGTTGGGGCATCTGGAGCACAGCTGGGACGGGACTTGAGACCTGGGAGGCGGGCAGTTCTTTGGTATCTGTGAGGCTTGAGAGCCCCCAGGGGTTCCAGAGGCCGGACCAGTGAGGAGGGGCTCCAGGACAGGCTGAGAGCCCCCGGACGGCTATGCTGGCCCACAGCTCCAGATGGCCTCCAAGAAGGGGATGCCCAGGGTGGAGAAAGATCCAGAAACCAAAGCATCTCCTCCTTGGTGCCATCATCCAAAGGCAAGAAATACCAACAGCAGAGCCCAGGAGAGACCTGGGTTCCTTGGTTAGGTTATCAAGTGAATTTTAAAAATACCCCTCCCCACAAAAGTGAAAAAGATCAAAACAATCCCCAAGCTGTCTGCGGCACCGTCTCAGTGTCTCCAGCCCAGCAGGTTGCTGAGGGAGCCTCCACTCCCCTACCAGAATTAGACGTAATTCTTAGTGGGGTACTCAGGGGCACCCTGAGAGGTGGCGTGTGCAGCTGATGCTGAGTAGCGGGCCATATAATGGTTTGGGCCCCGGGACCCCCCAGAGGGACAGGTGCAGCACAGCAGCCCCCCGCCCAGCAACAAAAGGCCGGAGGCTGCCCAGCCCAAGTAGAGAGAGGCCCCCAGCTCCCGCTTTTGGGCGTCTGACACCAGGGGGTTGTAGAAGTCTCGGATGATGGCGTGAGCCGTCCAGCATACGGGGATCAGGATCAGGACCCCTGAGATGACAAAGATGATCCCAGAGACTAGCACCAGACGGGCCTTGGAGTCCTTGTCCTCCACGCAGGTGGTACACTTGGCTCCCGCGAGGTAGACCAGCAGCCCGAGCAGAGCCACAAGGAGGGCGACGACGCAGAGGGCGCGGGCGGCCTGCAGGTCCTGGGGCAGCGCCAGCAGGGAGTCGTAGACCTTGCACTGCATCTGGCCGGTGCTCTGCACCACGCAGGACATCCACAGCCCCTCCCACACCACCTGGGCCACCACGATGCTGTTGCCGATGAAGGCGGTCACCTTCCACAGCGGCAGGGCACACGACACCAGAGCATTTACCCAGCCAAGCAGTGTCAGGACAATCCCCAGGATTTGCAGACCAGCGGAAGCCATGGCCAAGTTGAGGCTGAGAGGAGCCGCCCTGGGGGACAGAAGCATACTGATATGAAGACAGGCTGGTCCAGATCCTCTGTTACTGATGAGGGCCAACTCTCACGCCACAGGCTGTGGCATCCCACACAGGGCAGTGTTATCAGACAGCAAAGTAGCCAAAAGGGCAGGAATCCCCCCAAAGAGGGCAGTTTCCAGGTGCCCTCCTTGGGGCACACAGATGATGGGTTGGCTCTAGCCAGGAGTTTCAGGCTCAAAACCTGTCAGTTTCAACATCAAGATCGGAGATCCAAGCTTCCTCCCCACCACCCAATAGCAGTGTCCAAACCCCTCACCCCAACCTAGTTCCATACCCCCAGGCGGGTGGTGACCTTTGTTTCTCAGGTGATCTGTCATCCCTGGCCTAGCCAGGCCCTACTTGTCCTGGCCCAGCCTCAGTCAAACTCCAGAGGGGGCCGGAGAAGTGAAGAAAGAAAATTCCACCCTCTTGCCCAAAAGCTCTTCCCAACCGCTCCCCTCTGCCCCCCTGGGTCCTGCTCTTCTGCCCTCCCTTAGGGTCACACTGAGGATACTTCCAAGGCTGGGGACATTTTCTTGTGCCTTCCTGCCCCAAATGCCATCCTCTCAGGATTCAATTCCTCTAAAAGGACCTAAACTCTTGGAGTGTGTCCAGCGAACTGCCCCCCTCACTTGTCTCCTCACGCACCCCACTCTGTTGTGGTTGGCTTCAGGGGTCAGTTCTGCTCGAGGTCCTGTTGCGGTTCTCCGTTGCCCAAAGTTTCCACACAGGATTTGGACCTTAAGTTATCACCGGCCCCAGCCGCGTGGCCAGAGGACAGACTGTGCACTCATTTGCATCCCGCCCATACCTGACGGAGCTAATGACCTCAGAGGAGATCGGACGGGGCGACCCATGCCGTGTTCATCCCAACCCCAGCGTTGGCCCTCCACGCCTCTGGCCCGCTTAGCGCCCGTCCAGGCACCCAGCACCTATCCCCTTCCAAGACCCTACCCCTGTCCTCGACCCCTTCTCTTTCCGCACACTACGTGGTCGGCTTGGTGCAAGGGCGCCCCCTCCTGCTTTCGATCTGAGTGCGGCCCGAAGAAGGGACGGCAACTTGGGAGCGGTGCTGCGGGAAGGGCTTAATGGCGTCGGTATCAGCAGGGTCGGCTCCGGTAGGTGAGGGGGAGGGGGGTCCCGCCCCAGAGAGCAGCGCAGGTGGGGGAGGGGCGCCCGGGTTTCTGTGCCTTTGTCCCGGGGGAGGGGGAGGGGCGTTTAACCCTTCGGTGGCTGCAGAAGAACCTGACCAGCTCCGCGACTTCGGCTCAGACCCCCGCCCAGGGGCGGTGTCCCCCCAGATAAGTCCAGGTTCTCTACACGCACCCCTACCTACACCAACATACCCCCTGCACCCCACTCCTTGAGGAGTCCGCCTTTTCCCCTCCAACGCTGGCACTTCCCCCAGGCTCACCTGCGGAGAAGCCCACAAGGATTCGTAGGAGCCGCAGAATGTGCGCACGGGGGCGGAGGTGGGGGTCTTAAAGAGGCAGTGACGTCACTGGACCACCGCCCCGGGGAGGGGCAGAGACCCCATTCCAGACTGCGGCGCGCGAATCCCAACCTCGTCAGCTGGGGTCGCTCGAGCCTGGGGCCGCTGCTCCGGCGTGTGGCCCGGGGGGTGGGACCTCAGCTGGCTAACGCCGGCCCCCAGTGGGTCAGGGCATAGGGCATGAAGCCCCAGCTTGGCTCTTGACTCCGCGACTTACTAGTCCTGGGACCCTGGGAACTCACCCAAGCTTCCCAAGGTTCAGTTTCACACTCCGAAAAATTGGAGACAACAAGCGCACATTTAACTGTGTAGCTAAGCTCCAGGGTAGAAATTAAAGACATTATTATTATTATTTGTTATGTCGTTATCATTATGCTCCGGGGTCCTTAAGAAAGCTGCAGTTATCTTTGAGATGCGTTGTTCGTGTCTGATTGTCACCCCCAATTTCCTGGACTTCGGCATCCACAGCACAGGGCCAGGTCTGCGTCCCTGCGGGGTCCCCGCCGCAGGCGCACCGAGTTGGTGCTTTTTGAGCTAATGACTGAATTGAGCGGGCCAGGCAGGGCGGGGCGTCCAGGAGCCGGTCGCGGGGCGTCCAGGAGCCGGTCGCGGGGCGGGCCGAGCCGAGGGCACCGCCCCGGAAGGCGGGGGCGGAGGCGGGGCAGCTGCTGTCCGCCCCGGCCCGCGCTCGGCGGGCTCAGACTGCCGCGGCCGCCGGACGCGCACCATGGTTCCCGGGCCGCTGCGTCCGCTGCCGCGGCTCCTCTTGCTGGGGCTCGGGCTGGCGCTGCTGGGCGCGGCGGGCGGGGATCGAGTGCCAGGTACGCCGGGCGCGGGCTGGGCGGGAGGTCGCGGGGGGCCCTGGGGGCCCCCGGCGGGGGTCAGGGGGCCGGCATTGGGGGCCCAGAGAACGGGGCCCAACTGGGGGGGGGGGAAGTAGGCGGACACGGGGATTCGGGGTTAGGTGGTCTCCAGACACCGCACTCCCTGGCCGGGAGAGGTTCATCCCGCTCCGAACTTCATCCACAGTCTCGGCCTCAGTTTCCCCCATTTCAAATGGGGGGACGGCTTCTGTCCTAATAAGTCCAGACTCGGAAGTGGAGGGAAAAAGAAAGTTTGAGGGCGGGATGTCTCGTTCGGTGAGAAGGCACGCCCTTATCCTGTTAAGTACCTGGTCTGTCTGGCCCCATTGACCGAAGAGTCTCGGGGGGGGTGGTATCGAGAACACGGGGGTCAGTACCCCCTATACCATGTGGGGTGCCCCCTTCCATCCGGTGACTTCAGTGCCCAGCTATGCGGGGGGAGGGACTGGGGTCGGGCCGGGTGCCCAGGAGTGAGTCACCCGCCGGCTGCGGGGGGGTGGCGGTGGGGACCTGATACCCCCCCCCAGCGTCCCGCGCTAGGCCCCCTTTCCCTCACGCTGCTGAGCCCCGGCCGGGCCGTGCGGTCACCTGTGAGGAATGCGGGGGGAGGGCGCCGGTGACTCACGTTATTCGAGCCGGCCGACCCTGACCTCAGCCCCCAGAATAGCCGTGCCCCGCCCCAGCCTCTGACCGGCGGCCCCCTCCCCAGGCACCACCCCCTGCTCTCACGGCAGCTCCTGGAGCGCGGACCTCGACAAGTGCATGGACTGCGCGTCTTGCTCGGCGCGACCACACAGCGACTTCTGCCTGGGCTGTGAGTGGGGGGAGGGACCAGGGGCGAATGGACCAGAGTAGAAGAGTTGCGGGGGTCGAGAGGGGCGCAGTGGGCTTCAGATCTGGGGAATTAATCAGGAGTGGGGGTTGGAGGTGGGGTGGGAAGGGATAGGATTAGAACAGGGGCCAAGGTGGAGAAAAGGCGTGGGGCTTTGTCTCAGGTGGGATCTAGGGGGATAGAGGGGGCGGGGCTAGTACCGAGAGGGGCGAGGCCTAACTTGGAATCCCGCCCCCAGGCGCTGCAGCCCCTCCAGCCTCCTTCCCACTGCTGTGGCCCATCTTGGGGGGGTGCTCTGAGCCTAGCCCTCGTGCTGGGACTGCTTTCTGGCTTCTTGGTCTGGAGACGGTGCCGCAGGAGAGAGAAGTTTACTAGTAAGTGAGCCAGCCCCTCCCGTCCCGTCCCCCTCCCCCACGCCCCGTTATTCCTCACCATCTCCCTGTTCCTGACCACCCCTCTTCTTATCTTGCAGCCCCCATTGAGGAGACCGGCGGGGAGGGCTGTCCTGGTGTGGCACTGATCCAGTGACAGTGAGAGCCCTTGCCAGCAGGAGGCCCCACCCACTCATCATTCATTCATTCATTCATTTTGGAGCCAGCCCCCTCACTCCAGACACAGCCAGAGCCACTCTTCCAACAACAGGGGTGTGGAGGGATGGGGGACTGGTGAATCAGCTCTCCGAGGCCTGGGCCCAGGCTTCAGAGGAGCCTTCCAAGGTGTCTGACTGCCCTGTCTCTGGCTCCAGAATAGGAAAGGAGACCCACGCTGGCTCACACCAGACAGCTGACACTAAGGAACCGCAGCATTTGCACAAAGGGTCCCTCCCTCCGCCCCCATGGCCCAAGGGCCCGAGGGCCAGACATCATCAGGCCCCACCCACTCGGACGTTCTGAAATTCCACCATGGGGTCTCTGTCTGGGGGGTTAGGGACCTGTTGCTAACACTAGGGGGCTGGCCCTCTAGGGGGGCTGGCCCTAAGACACTGTCCCCCCTACCCTCAAAGGGGGGGAAATATTTATTTTGGGGAGAGAGTTTGGAAGGGAGGGAAAATTTATTAATAAAAGAATCTTTAACTTTAAATGGTTTGGAGAGTGGCATGATCCCCAGCCCAACTTCCCAGAGCTGGAGGGAGGAGTGAGTCAGCCGCGGGGGCGGGGGGTGAGGCTCTGACTCACACATTCTCAATGCCTGAGCCCAGCCTGCCAGGACCTGGTCAGGCCCTGACCGTTTTTTCCAGGGAAGATTTTGAGAAACCCCAAGCATCCAGTGTCCCAGCCTTCCCACCTTCCTTCCCAAAAGGTCCCAGGGTTCCAGACGGAAGCCTTCATTTGCTCAGCAATCTTTATTCAGTTCTAGGGGGAATGCCTCCCTTTCCATGCTCCTGTCCCTCCGGCCCCTCCCACTCCAGGGCTCTGTGGGATTCAGTGTCCTACTCTGTTGAGGGTCCGTCCTGGGGCCCAGGGGCCTGGTCTGGAGAATATTCAGGACAGCTGGTCCCTCAGTGGGGATGCTGGTCTTCTCTGTTGTGGGGAAGAAGGAAAGTGGGCAGAAACACTGCCCACCAGCACTCAGAGCTCCATTATCTCCCCAGCTTGGGTTGCAGAGTAGTGGGGGGTGGGGGTGTCCCCTAGCCTCAGCAGCCGGAGGGCCTCAGGGATCAGGTTCCCAGGGTAGCGCCACAGAAGCAGCTCAGAGCAGGGGCTCCTGGAAAAGGAAATAACAGCATGGGGCTGAGGCTGGCCTGGAAGAGCCACCTCCCTCCAGGTCCAGGTCCCCAAGAGCTCTTGGGCTGCCAGCACCTTCCAAGGAGCCAAGATGGGAAACAACAGAGGTTGGGTAGAAGCTAAAAATAGCAGGATGAGGCAGGGCCTAGAAAGTGGCTTCAAAGATCGGGTGTGATCCTCCAGAAGGCCAAGACAGCGGATGGTGCCTACCTGAGTGGGGGCAGAGATGGGGGAAAAGCCATGGGGGTGCTGCAGTAAGGGTGGTCATTGTGCAGGCTGAGTCGAGAGAAGTGAGTGGCCATGTTCTCTTCAGAAAGGAACTGTTTTCGCAAGGGCTCCCTGGGGAGAGACAGGAAGACAGGCAGGCTGGGATATTCACATCCGTGGCAGTCTGCTGGGGACCTAAGGTGACAGAGATCTTGTTGGGAGTCCCTCCCTGCCCCCAAACTCACTGCTCCTCCTCCAGGCGCCGCTTGGTGCTCATGGGCACAGCTCCTCGGGGAGGGGAGCTGGGAAGAAAAAAAAGCCAGGTGCACCCCACCCTCTTGGCCCCATCCCCAGGATCGGCTCTCCAGTGCCTGCAGTGTAGCCAGGAAGCCCCCAGACCACCCGTCACAGCTGACACCTAAGTCACCCCATCTCCCAGGTCAGCCAGCAGCCTGCCTCAGAACTCAGCCCAGTCTTAGCTTATGCCCAAACCTTGCCGACTCGCCCCACCGCGTGTCATCTTGCAGACCAGCCATGAGCCCCCAGCCCAAGCTCCTGGGCCTGGGGGCAGGCCCACCCAGTTCCCTCACACACACCTCACGTCCTGGGCTCGGGGCGTCCCCGACGCGGCCCGTGGGTCGCGCTGGGCCCGACCTGGGGGTCCTCGTTCCAGGGGCTGCTGCAGGATCATTTGGGTTCGGGGTCCCACAGGCAGAGGGTGGGATCCAGGCGACGGGGCGGAGCCTCAGAGGGCGTGGTCCAGCGTGAGGGGCGTGGCACTAGGCGCGCGCAGTGGCGAGGTTCTGCGCAGGCGCGGAAGGCGAGCGCCGCGCGGCTAGGTAGCGGGTGAGCTCGGCGAAGTGGGGGAGGGATCTGTCGTAGAGGGACCGCGCTGGGCGCTACTTCGTGTTGGCGATCTTCGCGGCGGTCACCTGGGATCCTGAAGCTCTGGGTAATACTCGGCGGCCGCCTTCGCGCCGGGCCGGCGGTGTTGGGGCTGTCCGGCGCCCCGAAGGGAACCGCTCGCGGGCACGTTCCGACTTGTGAAACTGCGTCGCGCTGAGCGCCCTGGGATTTGTAGTTCTCCACATGGAGCGAGCTGTGCCACACGCTATACCTCTGGGTCAGGTGAGGCGGGCGTGGTGCGCGGTGCCTTCTGGGGTTTGTAGTCCCTGCCCGGCTAGGAAGAGGCAGGCAAGGAGTCATTCCTGAGCACGACTGCCCTGTTTTGTTTGGGACTCGGACTCTGACCCAGGAGCGGCCTTTGACCCAGCAAGACCTTAGGGGCCTAACGTGAAAGTCGGAGGGTAGGGATTAGAAGTCAGTATATTTTATGTATCGGGTTAATGGAGCCACTTTTTTTTTTTATAAAATTTTTTAAAAAGATTCTTTTATTTGGCAAAGAGAGATCACAAGTAGGCAGAGAGGCAGGCAGAGAGAGAGGGAAGCAGGCTCCCCGCTGAGATCCCAGGACCAGGATCCCTGGGCCCTGAGATCATGACCCGAGCGGAAGGCAAAGGCTCAACCCACTGAGCCACCCAGGCACCCCTGGAGCCACTTTTTAAGTGCTTTTTACGAGACAGTTGTGTGCGAAGCTCTAGATACATGAGCTCAGACACCTGTGACAAAGTCTCCCGTGAGCTCCAATTGCCACTTGAGGAGGCCAGGCTGGGCACTTGCTGAAGGTCCTGGTAGACATCACACCTCAACAACCCTTGGGACTCTGGGCACACACCCACTTGGTGGGCCACCTCAAAGGATGGCTGAGCGATCTGGGCCGTGGGAGGCCGGACAGACGGCAGGGGATGCAGGAAGGAGTGTGACTGGCAGGTCCTAGATGTCCCAGGTCGCCTTCATCCAGCTTCCCCCCACAGATGGAAGTGTTTCAGGCCCTGCAGCGGCTCCACATGACCATTTTCTCCCAGAGTGTCTCACCCTGCGGGAAGTTCCTTGCAGCTGGCAACAATTATGGGCAGATAGCCATCTTCAGGTATCCTCATCCCTGCTCCCACCATCCTGTAGCTCTAGCACTTGTAACCCCTGGTACTGGCACCCCCTGCTTCTGACTCTCAGGCTGCCCTCCCCTCTCCCTTCAGCTTGTCTGCTGCTTTGAGCTCTGAGGCCAAAGAAGAAAGTAAGAAGCCCGTGGTCACATTCCAAGGTGGGTACAGCCATTGAGTCTGGCTTAGAGAACCCCCGGGTAGGGGACGGCAGCAGGACAGGGTCACTCAGGTTCTGCATTTCCGTCTAGCCCATGATGGGCCTGTCTACAGCATGGTCTCCACTGATCGACACCTGCTCAGTGCTGGGGATGGGGAGGTGAAGGCCTGGCTTTGGGCAGAGATCCTCAAGAAGGTAAGGAGTGTGGAGCTGGGGGACGGTTGGGGTGCCTGTTCCCAGGGAGCCTCTGACATCATCCAGTGTTTCCTTCCGTGAAGGGCTGTAAGGAGCTATGGCGGCGTCAGCCTCCGTACAGGTAAGCTAGGGCCCTGTGGGCAGAAGGGGCTTGGGGGCAAAGGTACTGCCTCACCAGAGCTGACCTCGCTTTCTCTCTCCCAGGACCAGTCTCGAAGTGCCTGAGATCAATGCTTTGCTTCTCGTCCCCAAGGTCTGAGCCCTTTGTGACTGGGGCTCTACTCTGCCCTGTTCTTGGTCCAGTCTTAAAAGCCTTTCCCCGCTCCCTGTCCTGATTCGACGTTGACTTGCGATTCCACTCTGCCTTCTTCTGTAGGAGAATTCTCTCATCCTGGCGGGGGGAGACTGTCAATTGCATACGATGGACCTTGAGACTGGGGCCTTCACAGTGAGCAGGCCACGGGGCTGGGTGGTCAGGGCTGGATGGGAGTAGGGGCATCCTTCCAGGGTCTCCTCCTGACACTGGCCCTCCTGCAGCGGGCTCTCCGGGGCCACACAGACTATATCCACTGCCTGGCACTGCGGGAGCGGAGCCCCGAGGTGCTGTCGGGTGGTGAGGATGGAGCCGTGCGACTTTGGGGTAAGTTAGTGTCTGGTTGGAGGGAAAGGTGGTGGCGAAGACTGGGGCCAGCAGGGCGCTTCTCACGGTCCTTCCCCCACAGACCTCCGCACAGCCAAGGAAGTCCAGACCATCGAGGTGTATAAGCATGAGGTGAGGGCACGCGCCATGCCCTGTCCTCCCTTCCACCTCCCTGGGCATCACCCATGTCTTCATCTCCTTCTCTTACCCTCTTTCCCCTAGGAGTGCTCGAGACCCCACAATGGGCGTTGGATCGGATGTCTGGCAACTGACTCAGACTGGATGGTGAGCAGGGCAAGGTGCAGAATGGGGTTACCACTGCGGGCCCTGCCAGCTGAGAGCCTGACCTCAAAGTGGCTGGGGACCCCCACCTTTCTGCCCAGGTCTGTGGAGGCGGCCCAGCACTCACCCTCTGGCACCTCCGATCCTCCACGCCCACCACCATTTTCCCCATGCGGGCACCACAGAAACATGTCACCTTCTACCAGGACCTGGTGAGGCCCTCTGTCTTGCTTCTGCCACCTTTTCCTGGTTCCCCTCTCCAGTTCTGACCCCTGACTGCCCTCCCTACCCTCCACAGATTCTGTCTGCTGGCCAGGGCCGCTGTGTCAACCAGTGGCAGCTGAGTGGGGAGCTGAAGGCCCAGGTGCCTGGCTCCTCCCCAGGGCTGCTTAGCCTTAGTCTCAACCAGCAGCCAGCAGCACCTGAGTGCAAGGTGGGTCCTGCAAGGAGCTGCGGCGGTCCTCAGGGCGCGGAAGGGGGTGGGGGGGACACATGTATGGCCGGGCCAGTCACCCCCCTCTTGCTTCCAGGTCCTGACAGCTGCGGGTAACAGCTGCCGGGTGGATGTCTTCACCAATCTGGGCTACCGCGCCTTCTCCCTGTCCTTCTGAGCTCTGTCAACACCTCTTCCGTAGTAGGGATTTGGAGTGCTTTTTTTTTCTTTCTTTTTTAATAAATAAATTTTCAGGCTATTTTTCCGCTTATGTTCTTCCCAAGAATGGAGGCCAAGTTGGGGTAATGATTTTTATATATTACTCTGTTCGACCTTGATACATAAATACCCACCCCCATCTCTGCCCTGGAGCACGCCAGGCGCAAGGTGCTTAGAAAACAGAGACCTATATAGATTTAAAACAACTCTGCCTCACCTGCCCCGCCACCCACCTGGGGTCCCTGGCCCCCAAAGCTGGCCCCTGCTCCCACTGAGCCTTTGCCCAGCTTCCCGGGGCGGGGAGGGCACCAGCCCCCTCTGGAAGACAGGGCCCTGGTGCTACATTGGCCAGAAGAGTTACGTGAACCAGAGGCCACTGGCGGTCCCCTTCGCCCGCCCTTCAGGTCCTTCGGAAGAGATTGCTCAGGAAGCCGCCGGCGGACCCAGGACCCAGGCGCAGCGAGAAGCGCGTTGCGGCGCGATGCGGGGATGATCCGGCCGCACTGAGCTCCTTCTGGCGTTGCGAGCGCAGCTGCTGGGCGATCACCACCTGCATGTCGTCCTGCGCCGGCCGGAGGAGCGGGTCAGCGCGGTTGGCCCCGCCCCTTCCGGTCCCCCGCCCTTCCGGTCCCGCCCCTCACCTGCCAGGCCTCCAGCTCTTGCGTCAACGCCACCTTCTGGCGGATAGTGCGAAGCAGCTCCCGAGAGAGCGAGTCCCTCTCCAGAGAGACGCGGCTGAGCTCCAGGGACAGTTCCAGCGCTCTGCCGGCAAGAGGCGCAAAGAGTGGGTCCGAGGGCGCTCGGGCGTCAGGGAGGGGGCGTGGCGAGACGCCGCTGGACCCCGACGGGAGTGGTGCTGCTGACCCCGAAAGCAAGGTCGGAGGGCTCCTGGTGGGTGTGGGGATAACTATATCACGTGGCGGGGGTTGGGGGGTGGGATTCGAAGGCCCAGGGTGCCTGGGAGTCCCACGGGGGCTGTGGTGCATGGTGGCAGAGGCTCACTTGTTCACAGCTTCGTCCCGATCCGAGAGGGCGCCGCTAAGGGCCTCCTCGGGGTCCTCCTGTGTTCGCAGCTCCTTCTGCCTTCGCAGCTCCTCCCGCAGGGACAGTATCTCTGTCCGCTGCAGCGTGATCTGTAGGCAGGGGAAGGTGAAGAGAAGCAGGTGGGCCCCTGGGTCTCCCAGCAGCCAGGGCTTCAGGTCTCCAGCCCCTCCCTCGCCTGCTCCACAAACTCTCGGGGCAGCTGCAGCCAGTGTGGAGAATAATCTGAGCCTCCGGGCTGGTGCAGGATGGGGTGGGGTAGGGTCGGCGGGGTGGTGTAAGCCTGCAGAAGGGATGCTGAGAGAAGCACTAGGAGGTGGGGCTGGGGGGTGGGGGGGAATGGGGCCCAGGAAGCCCTCCTGGAAGAGGTGGCGTGGCATACAGTCTGGCTCTTGAAGCATAACTACAAGTTTGTTGGGATGAAGATAGATCCATGTAGAGGGGGAATTAGTAGGCAAAGGCTCAGAGGTGTAGATGGGCAAAAGAAACTGGCCTGGAGAGGGGCTCTCCATCTGCTCTCGCACTCCCACACCTCATCCTGCAGCCGGGCCACTTCGGCCTCCTTCTCCTCGAGTATCTCCCCTGGCCTCAGGGATGCTCGCTTCTTGGGAGGCTCCAGGCTTTCCTCTTGGGCTGAAGGCTGGTGGCTGAATGCCTCTTGGATCTCAGGGGACAGAGTGTTCTGTTCGCCAAAGGAATCTGTCAGTGAGGTGTCGGACCTCCTGGGGAAAGGAGGAGGGGCGGAGTCTGCATGGCACGTGGGGGCTAGTGGGCCACGAGCTCACCGGGGCGTCTCTGCGTCCGTCCGCTTTCTGGTCCTGGTCGCCGTCAAGGCTCTGAGCAAGCTCGGACTGCAGTGAGGCTACCGACACGTCGGCGTCCTGAAGGCGCGACTCCTCCTCCAGCTCCGAGACGCGCCTCTGCAGTCTCCGCAGCGCGCTCAATGCCTCCCCGGCCTCGGAGCGCGCGCGTTCCAGCTGCGGAGGGACAGAGGAGGGACAGACAGAAGGGCAGAAGTGTTGTCAGCCAGCCAGGGACGCCCGGCGCCCTCATCCCGCCGCCGACCTACAGGGGGCGCCGGCGCGCCGCCCAGAGCCCGCAGTCCCGCGCGTCGGAGCACCCCAGGGATCCTGCTCCCACCCCCGGATCGCTGGGCGGCCTTGGGCCGCGCAGGTCCCCTCGGCAGATTCCAATTTCCTCCTCTATAAAGCAGGGTGCGGACAGGTGCCCTGGCTTTAAAGTTTCCAGTCCGCCTCCCCCCAGCCCCACCCCATCTGGTCACCTGGCGGGGCCCCCCCCCCCCCCCCGACCGGTCGGCCCGCTAACCCCAGGCCCTCCTCCAGTGTTTATTGATCCTTCTAACCCCGCGCTGTGCTGAGTGCTTCACCCTCCCTTCGGCTCTTCATCATCCCCATCCCATCTCACAGACAAGGAAAGTAAGAAGGGATGTTGGGATCCGGGCTCACGTTATTTCACCACAGAGTGCATGCTCCTGAGAGCTCAAACATCAGGCCATTGCTGCCTCTTGTCATTTCCTTTTGTGCATCTCCACTGCCCCAGACCTGGTCCAAGTCTCCATCATCTCTGGCCTCCCAACTGCTGGGCTCTGATGCCTTCTAAAGGCAGACCACTCCTGCTCAGTCTCCTTCCAAAGCTCCCACGTGCCCCTGGGCTAATGCCCAGGCTCTCTTGGCCCAGCTTCTGGGGCTCCCCATGACCCAGCTATGGCCTCATCTCCCTGGAAGCCCCGAGGCAGTGGCCCCTGCCCTGGTCAGATGCACCCCCCCGCCCCCCCACCGGTCACCTCCAGGCTATGCTCCCGCTTCTCACGCCGCAGTAGCAGCAGCTCCTCGTGGGTGGCCCGCAGCCTGGCCTGGCCCTTCTCCACCTCCTCACGCAGGCCCCGGATCTGGGCCTCCAGGTCCTGCCGGCGGCCCTGCAGCATCTGGTTCTGGGGAGAGACCTCAGGGCTGGAGGGGGGGTACCAGGCCAGCCCCAGATCACCCCCAGCCCCAGCTGGCACTTACCTCCCCCTGTAGACTCTCCAGCCGCGTCCTCAGCTCTGCTCCTGCCAGGACCTGAGCCTGGCACTGCCCCCGAAGGCCATCCACTTCCCTCTGAAGCTCCTGCTCGGTCTGAGAGGCCTGTTGGGGATGAGGGGGAAGGCAGTGGAGCCCCCAGCTGGCCCTGAGCCTTGACCCCAAGCCCCATGCACCCACCCCCACACTGGGACACAGACACCTGCCCTCCCTCTGCCAGGGACACAGGATCGGTTCTCCCACCTGGGCCAGCTGCTGGCTGAGCCGGAGGTTCTGCTCGCTGAGCTCACAGAGGGCCCGTGCCCGCTCACGCCCACTGTCCTGCTGCTCGCAGCGCTGCTCTCCCAGCTGGGCACGCAGGGCCTCCACGTCCCCCTCCAGCTCCACAGCTCTGGCCTCCCATTCAGCACCCCGCACTGCCAGGCCCCGGCGGAGCTCATGGTTCTCCTGCTGCAGCCGCTGTGGGGGCCCGGACAGAGGGTCAGGGACAGAGGGAGGGATAGGGGGAGGGGAGGCTGGAGCAAACACACAGATGGACCCAGAGGGGGTCCAGGGGGGCCTGAGACAGGTGTGGAAGCAAGAGGGAGAAGCAGGCAGAGAGTGAAAACCAGAGCCTTGGAGCGGGGGGGAGAGTGGAGAGAGGTTTCCAGGTCAGGCAGGAGGAGCTGATCTGGGATTGGAGGAGAGTGAGGATCTGTGATGCCCGCTCACCTCCGGCTGCTGTCTGGGCTTCTGCACCCGAGGTCGCAGGCGCCGTTTTTGGCGCCTGAGTCTGGCAGAATTTAAGCCCCGGCCCATGGCCTCACCAGCTAGTGTCCCAGGGGCTGAGGAGGGTCAGCCTCTGCTCAGCTCTTCTCCCCCAGCTCCTCTGGGCCAGCTCTCTCTAATTAACCCTGGCCAGCCCCGCCTGGGCCCCAGGCCTCAGCGTGCCCTCCCCAAAACCTGTCCAACAGGCGGGGGGACGCTCTTGTCACACCCAGCTGTCTGGCTTGGGGAGGCAGGCAAGTCGGGGGGGCCAGCCTCTGGCCCCCACTCTCTATAAACCCTTAAAGCAAGAAGGCAGTGCTAAACGTATGGTGCTCCAGATATTAGCAGGCACTCCGGCCAGGCCCTGTGCTAGCGCCTTCCTGGTGCCATTTCATCCGGCCAACCACGGTTAGAGTTGTCAGTGTACTTATTTTCTATATGAGGAGCCTGGGGGTCAGAGAGGTCAAATGCCTTGCCCAGGGACACACAGTTAAGCAGTGAGGCAGCAATTCCAACCCACGTGCACAAACTCTTAACCAAATATCGTGGGGGCAACACAGCTCTAGGGTTAAATCCCCAGGTTCAGGGTCCAGTTGTCCTTGCTGGTGCCCTGCTGTGCTGCTCTCTGTGATTAGACAAGCTCTTTAATACCCCCCGGGTTCCGGCCCCCTAGCCAGCCCAGCAGTACTTCCTGAGCTCCTCCCGCCGTGGGGTCTGGCTGTCTGCAGCACTGGAGACCACCGGGTTCCTAGCCTCTGGCAGCTTAGAGTCTAGAGACTCAGGCGCATGGACACAGGCTTGAACTTGGTCAAACTTGGTCGTTTCAGAGGGAGTGCGTAAGAGCTGTAAAGAAACCCTGATGAGGAAGAGCGGGGTAGGCTGGGGGGTTCTTTAAAGAGAAAGTGACGTTTGACTTCACACCTAAAGTGCAGGACAGAAGAGGGCTACAGCAAGGAACAGCACGTGCAAAGGTCCCAAGGGAACACGTGGGGGTTACTTGAGAAACTAAAAAGAGGTGCTAGGGGAGGACAGCGGTGTCACCGGCCAAGGCCCTCGAGCAGGGACTTTTGGGCCCTGGTGAAGAGTGTCATTGTGAGATGGGGAGCCGTGAGGGGATTTTAGGCAAGGACAGAAATGATCCAATCTGCAATTCTTGAAGATGCCTCTGGCGGCCCCATAATGGAGCATGGAGAATGGGCTCTGGGGGCAGGAGTGGAAGCTGGGCATGAGTGAGGAGGCAGCTGCGGGGCTGGGGCAGAGGCGATGTTGGCTTCAGCCAGCTTGGAGGCTGCAGAGACCCTGGGAAGCGGGTAGATTCAGAATCTGGTTTAGAGGCAAAATCCCTAGGGCTTGCACATGTGGGAGAAGAGAGGTCATGAGACGCTTGGGCTCTGGTCCTGATATGGGAAGCGGGGATGAGGACCACAGGTGATGGGGTCAAGATGCACCACTTAAATGTTGACATACCCACCAGGTGGCCGGGGGAGGAACTGAGGGACATAAGCTCCCCAGGTCTATCCTGAAGCAATGGTTGGGGCTCTATGGATGCTGGAGTTGGGGTTGTCCAGGGTGTTTAGGGGCCCGATGTGACCCTCAGAATGGCTGTGTGGGCAGAGGGGGGAATTCTATGTCACAGGACTAGGAGAGAATTGGCCAAGATAACACACAGAAAGGGCTTAGCCCAGGGCCAGGCAGGGAAGGGGTGCCCAGTAACTGGGGGCTGGGGTTGTGCCATCCCACTGAGGGGCCAGACCCAAGATTCAGAGAAGGCCGGTGGCTGGCCCAGGGTCCCACAGCCAGGCAGAGGCCTGAACCCAGGTCCTGGCTTGTCCTCAGAGCCCATGTCCTCAACCACTGGAGAATCCCTCCAGGAACACGGGGCCCAATCCTGAACTGCTGTTCCAGGGGCCTCCCCCTGCGCACCTGTCTCCCAACTGCCCTCCGCCAGCTCAGGCTGTCCCCTGTCCCACCCCTGCCCGGGCCGCCAGCTCACTTCCTCGCGCTCAGAGTGCTGGGCGCTCAGTGTCTCCAGCTGCCGCTGTAGCTCCTCATTGCGCTCCAGAAGCATCTTGCCAAGCTCCGCAGCCAACAGCAGGTCCTTCTCCTTCTGCTGCAGCTGGAGGGCCAGGTCCTCCGGCTCCTCAGGCCCGGGTCCCCCTCCCAGGAACGAGTCCCGCCTTTCCAGCACGAAGGGGAAGAAGCCCTCGTTGCCACTGGGGGAGGCACCTCCAGAGAGCAGCCCCGACAGGAAGCCTGGTCCTTGTGGGGAGCTCATGGTGGCTGCAGCCTCTGTGGGCACAGGAGGGTCAGTGGGGACAGGCAGCTGGTTGGGACTTGCCCCCTGCTGGTCAAGATCTGGCCCTGCGGCTAGGGCCTCCTTGGGCTGTGAAGGGTTAATGATCTGTGTCTTGGCCACCCAGCTCCGTTAATGTCCCCGGGGTAAACTGAGGCAGGGAGTACAAGGAAATGAGCTGCTGTTGACAGACATCCTCTGCCCCCAGGTAACTGCCCCAGTGCTCCAGGACCCTGCTGACCGTGCCCCCCACCCCCCACACCTTAGCTGACCTGGCTCCCAGCCCCTCACCAGCAGGGAAGCTCTTTCTAGAAGCCAAGTTCTCAGAGACTCAGGACTCAAGAGGAGCTCAGCCCCTTCCCCTCCCAGAGTACAGGCCTTGGGAATTTAGGCCTGCAGATCCCTTCACTTCTAGAAGCCCAGGACCCCAGCCCCCTTCCCTCCCAGGTATCCTGGTCCTTGTTTTCCTATTTTCTCAAGATCCAGGTGTTTTGGTCCCCATGCCTTGGAGCTCAGGTGCCCAGACCCAGTCCTCCCATTCTGGAGTGTTGGCCCCAGTTTCCCAGGGGCCCCGGGGCAGGCCCGGGGCTGGGCCAGGTAACAAGTTGTACCAGCAGATGGTGGGGCCACTCCAGGTTTCTGTTTACTTCCCGGCCCGCCCCTGGGGACGGGAGCCCAGTGGCGCTCTCCCAGGGCTGCTTAGAGCCCGGCCGATCGGGGGCTCAGAAGGAGACACACCAGATTTCGCTGGCACCCTCCCCACCTCCAGTCCTCTGGGGGGTCCCCCCCCACCCCTTACACACGCGTGCACCCCCCCACACACACCTGTCCCTTCCACCCTAGATGTCTAAGCCCAGCCCCATCCGCAGGACCCAGTTGTCGCGGTTGTTCCGGCCTAGCGGGGTCCCGAAGTCTCCCTGAGGTGGCCCCTGTGGCCCCAACCCCGCTCTGGAGACCCGGGGGCGTCCCTTCTCCTCCCGCCTTCTCGCACCTTCTCGTACCGAGCTGCTGTTTAGCATCTCGATCCAGGCGTCTGAGCCCCCTGCTCCTCGACACACACACACACCCCCACCGGCCCCAGGCATCCGAGGCTCAGCGACCACCTACCTTCCTGCCCTCGCCTCCAGCTTGCGCGCCCCAGGAGCCAGGCTCGACCACCCCACCCCCGGCGCCTTCTCGCGCCGACCCTGTTCTACCTGAAGCTCCAACGGCCCCCGTCCTCAGGCGCCCCCCAGGCTCTCACCCGCAGATGCCGGGCTCCCTCCAACGTCCCCGCGGTCCCTGATCCCCTCTTCCGGAGGCGGTGCCAGGTGCCCGGCCAGCGCAGGTGAGGGGGCGGTGACGCGGGCAGGACTGGGGCGCCCCCTGGCGGCCAGAGTGGCGGGGCGGGGCTGAAGGAAAGTCGCCTCCACCCAGCTCTGGGCACCTGCTCCGTGCCGCTGCCATCGGAAACCATGGGCCCCATTAATTGATCACCTGTTGGGTGCAGATCCCACGCTGCGCACAGACGTCAGCTCCTTTCCCCTCACAACTGCCCTGTGGGGTAGGACATTACTGAGAATGACAACGAGGACAAATATAACATACCAGGCACTCTGCTAAGTAAGCTCTTTTATGAGCACAACTCGTTTACTTTTATGACATCCTAATGAAGCAGGAACTGCTATTGTCCTCATTTTACAGATGAGGAAGCTGAGGCAGAGGGGGACCCTTCACTTGCTTGGGGCTCTCCGTCTCGAGGTGGCCCGAGGCTGGACCCCATGCTCCAGTGCGAGGACAGAGGACTTGGTGTGGAGGCCAGGAGCATTCGGGGTGGGTCCAGCCCAAGGCCGCCTGGGCATGCAGGGTGTTAAGTCTCTCCAGACTCCCAGGGCTTGCCGCCGGGAGGTCCGGGGCCTCCTGGCCTGGTGGGCAAGGACAAAGGGAGGGCTGGAACAGCGGTGTGCTGGAATTTCTATCAACAGAAGGCTTTCTGGCGGAAAAAAGAAAGGCCTAGTTTGTAGACTTGGCAATTTCGGAGGGTTAGTGATCCCTGCTTGGCTGATTTCGAGCTACCTCCGACATTATTGCATGAGAATTTGGGAAGAGATGTGTGCTACTGGGAGCAGCTGGTTCGCAGGCCTCTGGCTGGCTGTCAGGACTTCAGCTGCCTGGGTCTTAGAGAAATAAGGAAGTTGGGAGCTGGACCTCCTGACTTGTGGGAAAAGGGTTCAAGGACTCCTTGGAAGGATGGTTTAGGGACTGGGATTGCTGGATCATGGGAAGGCTAGGACAACGTTTGCCGCCAACCCAGAGTACGGGTGCCAGTTTGCTTTGCAAAGAGGTCTGAGGGTGGCATGGCCTAGTGAGGCCACCATGTCTTCCCACAGCACCTGTGACAACAGCCTGGTGGACTTTGGAGATGCTTCAGTCTCTCCTGGGTGCCACCATCTGACCCCTTCAATGCCTAGCCCCCCCCCCACCCATACTTATCACATGTTCCCTGAGCCCCGCCTTCTGCCAGGCAGAGGGCTGGACTTACCTGGTGATGAAGTGGGCAAGGCCTTCCTCCCAGGAGGTTCGAAGCTCTACCCAGGAGCAGGGAGGGGGCAGAGACCTATAAACCAGAAATGAATTCATAAAGCAATACAGCAAAGGAGGTTGTCTCACAGACTCCAGCATCCATGGCTTCGGGCCAAATTCCAGTTTGGCTGTAATGTTCACTGGATGTCCCTGGGTCATTCAGCTGATGAACCTCTGCAGCCCTCAATTTCCCTGTCTGTACAATGGGGATGATAGCACTTGCTAGCTTCAAGGGTTGTGGGGCTTAAGTAAGGGTCCAGTCCTGCTGGTGGCCCTCAGCAGGGGCAGGGCAAGGCCACAGAAGTGACTCACCACCCATGTTCCAGAGAATCCCACAGCCACCCTCTGAGGTCATACCATTCGAGGACCAGAAACCAGCTCAGGGAGGCTCGGTGATCTGTCTGTGCCTGTAATGGGAGGCCCCCAGCTCGGCTTGCCTGGCACTCAGCCTCAGTCACTCTTTGGACATTTGAATCAGTGCCCTGCTGCCTCTGGACCCAGGAATTCTGGCTTCCAGCTGCTCAGCCCCTTCCCTGCCCCTCAGCTCCCCTCCCCCAGCCTCCCTGCTGATTCCAGGAGGAAAATGGATCCAAGAGGGGCAGAGTGTCCCCAGGAGAGGCCTGGGACAGTGAAGGGAGGGGAAGATAAACCAGCCCTTGGAGAATCAGCCCTCTGACAGGCTCATGCTCACCCTAGGACGCTCTCCCCCACCTTCCCCGCCGCCTGCTGGGCCTCCCGCTGTGCCAGGTCTTGGCTCCAAGGTCTCCTCCCTGGGGAAGACTTCACACACCTCACAGAGCCAGGGGCAGTTGACACTGGCATCCAGAGGCCAGCAGATGCCCCCTGCTGTAGAGGCAACCCCGTGGGAATGGCTCGGGTCCAGACCGAGGGGCCTGCAGGCTTTTATGACACAATCTATGAACAATAAGAAGAATTGTTGGGAGCACTTTAACCCTCCGTATGACACCGCTCACGCCGAACGCGCTGGCCGACAGCTCGCTGTTTCTATTTAACCTGATGTTTCCAAGTTTCTTCCCATCTTAAAGAAAAGCTGCAAAAAATAAAAAAAGTCAGCTTTATGGAAGTAGGTATTTGTTTCCTAAGGCTGCTGTTGTAAATCACCACAACCTGGGTGGTTTAAGCAATGATTTATTGTCTCAGCGTTCCAGAGGCCAAAAGTCCAAAAGCAAAGTAGGAACAGGGTTGGTTCCTTCTAGAGGCTCCGAGGATGAAATCTATTCTGAGCCTCTCACCTAGCTGCTAGAGATCCTGGATGTTTCTTGGCTAGGAAGAACCCCGCTCCAAGCTCTGCCTGCCTCTTTACATGGGCTCCCCTCGGGTCTTCTCTGTGACCCTGGGTCTCAGATCGCTCTCCACTTTCTCTCTCGTTGATGTAGAGCCCATCCTAAATCCAGAATGGTCTCATCGTGAAATCTTTCTTTCTTCGCTTATTTATTTTTTAACATTTTATTTATTTATTTGACAGAGAGAGACACAGCGAGAGGGGGAACACAAGCAGGGAGAGCGGAAGAGGGAGAAGCAGGCTTCCTTCCTGCCGAGCAGGGAGCCCAGTGCGGATCCCAGGACCCTGGGATCATGACCTGAGCCGAAGGCAGATGCTTAACGACTGAGCCACCCAGGCGCCCTGGGAATAGTTTTCATAGAATAAAACTCACCAAGTTTAGTATTTCATTTGATGAGTTTTTAACAAATATCTGGGGTGTAAGTGCTCCCACAATCATGGTAAGCATGATCTATTGTCATTGCTTCATCCCCAGCGTGCCTCAAGCCTCTTTGCAGTCAGTCTCTCTCCTGTAGCTCGACCCTGCGACCACTGATCTGCTTTCCGTCACTATCGTTTTGTCTTTTCCAGAATGCTCTCTAAATGGGATCCTGTCTAGTGGATGGTCTTTTGTGCCTGGCTTCTTTGACTTAGCGTAATGGTTCTGAACTCATCTGTGTTGTGTGTATTGGCGGAATCCATAGTTTCGAAAATTTTCCAACCTCAAGAAAAGTTGCAGGGGGGCGCCTGGGTGGCTCAGTGGGTTAAGCCGCTGCCTTCAGCTCAGGTCATGATCTCAGGGTCCTGGGATCGAGTCCCGCATTGGGCTCTCTGCTTAGCGGGGAGCCTGCTTCCCTCTCTCTCTCTCTGCCTGCCTCTCCGTCTACTTGTGATCTCTCTCTCTGTCAAATAAATAAATAAAATCTTAAAAAAAAAAAAGAAAAGAAAAGTTGCAGGGATAATATAATGCCACACCATCTCTGCGGGCTTGCAGTTGCGAACGTTTTGCCCCATGTGCTTTATCTCTCTCTTACACAGCACATACCTGCACACATTTTGCTAAACCATTGACTACCTCAGCCGGCATTTCCTGAGGACACAGATATTCTATGTAATCAGGGAATATTATCACATGCGACAAACCAAACAATAAAATAAGACACAATAACCTTACCTAATGTAAAACCCGTGTTCTAACGTTCCTGGTAATACCATTTTAGACAATATGAAATCAAGGACCACACACTGCATTTAACTATCATTTCTGTTAGGTCTCCTTTAATCTAAAATAGTCCATTAAGGGTCCTGGGGGCTCAGTCGGGTAAGCACCTGACTCTTTTTTTTTTTAAAGATTTTATTTATTTATTTGTCAGAGAGAGAGCGAGCACAGGCAGACAGAATGGCAGGCAGAGGCAGAGGGAGAAGCAGGCTCCCTGACGAGCAAGGAGCCCGATGTGGGACTCGATCCCAGGACGCTGGGATCATGACCTGAGCCGAAGGCAGCTGCTTAACCAACTGACCCACCCAGGCGTCCCTAAGCACCTGACTCTTGATTTCAGCTCAGGTCACAATCTCAGGATCATGAGTCATGGGTTCGAGGCCCATGTTTGGTGTAGAGCCTAGTTTAAAAAAAAATAATAAATAAAGATAGTCTGCTTGTCTTTTTCTGTGTCTTTCAGAACACTGATTTTTCTTTTTTAAGGACTCCATGGGGTACCTGGTGGCTCAGTCAGTGGAGTGTGTGACTCTTGATCTTGGGGTTGTGAATTTGAGCCCCAACTTGGATACAGAGATTACTTAAAAAGAGAAACATCTAAAAAAAAAAAAACTCCAGGAAGCTGTTTTTCCAAAATGTTTCTGAGATTTATCCCCGAAGATGCATTTGGATACAATTTGGTCATTGCCATATGGTTTTGCATCCAATGTTTATGCCCCAATTTATTTCTCTACTCTTCTGTCAGTGGAGGACTTAGCCTTTTGG